TTTCAGATTTAAAGTGAGTTAATAACTAAACAGCAATTATAGTTACACACTGTATTTATATAGTTTAAAATTAAAGCAGTGTCTTACAGATCATTTTTTAAAACGAAATATAACCAGTGGCACACTGTACACTAGTAAATAATAAGCCGCGATTTAACTCTGACACACTAATCGAAATAAGTTCACCATCTTCGGTATAGAGAAAGACTCGTTATTTAATATTTTTTTATGGAGGAGACGTTGCATTGGAAATCGCAAGGGGCGGGTTAAGCGTAAGCGGGGCCCTGGGCCAATCAAATTTTTGGGGCCCTCGGATTAATTTTATTTCTCGTACGTTTCTTATTTACTCAAATATAAAAGTATTTATACATCTTTTCATTTAAGAAAGCATATTTAAAATTGAAATAAATAATAATAAATTAAATCTTACTTTATTTTGTTAAATTAAAACTAAAAAAAATTATCGTATTTTATTAATATATATTTGAAATTGTTTTTTTTAATCATTGTTTTTCTTAATTTTCTTAAATTTACTTTCTAAAAAATTTTTTTAAGGGGGCTTCTAATTATTGGGGGCCCCAGGTCATGGCCTAGTCTGGCCTAATGAGTAATCCACCCCTGGAAATCGCTATTATGACCGATTATTCATATAGCTAGTGAATAAAGGTAAAATAGCACGAGGGGAAAAAGGAATCGAATCCCTAAGTCATGAGGTATCCCTACGTAGACCATGCACAGAGGGACCAATATTTGGATAGATAGATTTCCTAACATTAATCCTAAAATGGCTTATATATATACGGTCAATATAAGGACTATATTTGCTGAATAATGAATATATAATATCCGGTGAATCTGACCATTCTATAAATTGCCGATATTGGTTGTAAAATGGCAGAAAAATATCGGGTAAATCGGATAAATCTATATCAGGCCAATATCGGAAAAATAACGGCCCTTTGAAACATTATTCAGCCATGATTCGTGAATATTTTTCCATAGAGGATACAGCTTATTTTGCTGCTAGGGGATAGTAAATGGAGCTGTTATTAAATATGCTTTATCAAAAGTAGCAACAAATAATTTAATAAATTGAAGAAGAAAAACTAAAAAGTAGCGTTAAAATGCAAGGAATTTAAAATATTTCAACAAATTCGTAATTTAGGCACATGATAGATATGTTCGTTGTCAAGAATTCGAGAAATCATCAATTGCCGCACATTGTTCGAATCTTGGATCTAAATTCAATTTCGACAATGCCAAAACTATTTTTCCTCCAGTCACATCAACTTATCTTGAAGCCCTGGAATTTTGTTTTATTCATATGGATGCTGATTCCCGTGTTAAAGACATTACTTAACAAGTAAAAATGCATTTTACCCTGATTTGCCCAGCTGTTTTTTTTTTTTTTTTTTTTTTTTTTTTTTTTTTTTTTTTTTTTTTTTTCATCATCTTCGTTTTCTAGCTCTGTTTTTCACCTTTATTTTCCATTTTTTTTGGTGGCAACTTTACGTTTTTTATTACATTATTTCGTTTTTTATTACTTTCGTTTCTTCTCATTCACGTCTGGCTACTCTTGAAAATGGGTGCCTGTTTTTGAAGCGCTTGAAACATGTTAACTGTTATTTTCAATTTGTATATTTTTGAAGCGAATGAAGTTTTTAATAAGATAATTTCTTGGGATTATTTATTTAATATAATGAGTTTACTTTATCTGTAATAATAATTTTCCCACCTTATTCAGTTTTATCAGGCATACTGTACTGATAAATATGCTTCCTGAGAACAGCAGTAAATCAGCGACTGGTTTACATGTTGTTTCAGATACAGGGCTGTCATGTAGAGTTATCATTATTCTATAATGCTTTACCATTCTCTGTTAGTTATCATTTCTCGTACCCCCTTTCGTACAATAGCTTTACATGATCGATAACAAGGTTCTCACGGTACCTTAAAATGATAATGAGGTAAATAATCATACAGCATAAGTCCGCTATAACGATAATTCATAATAGAAGTTGAAATTGACGTTATACTCAAACTCCCATATTTAATTTTTAAATAGAGTGAAGGAAAGAGACGAAAAATTTTATAGACATATTTACCTTTTCCTTTTATTTTGATCAATATTTTCTATTTAAAATATTTATCTAGTCAACACCTTCTATAACTGAAATCCTCCACACGGTTTTTTATAGGTAGTCCGATCAGACCACTATGAAAGTTAGCCAGTTTACGTAAGAATCATTATACGAAAGAGCCATTTAATATAAAGTTTTGTATAAATACGAAAGTAGTAGCAAATATATGTCTAAAAATTTGTCCAATTGATGAATATGATTGGTTTGTCTTACTTACTAGTCAACCAAGACAGATTCAATTCTCAAATATATATGATAAATTACTCTTAATTACTTTTAAAATAGAATTTTGATTCACGCGCAGACTGGTTCACTTTTTAAATTGTCTGCGCAGACGACTTATTTAAAAAAAAATCGTGTGGAGGCTTTCTGATGTAGGAGGTAATGACTGTGCTTGACTACAGGTTGTGGACAGAATTGCGTACTCTGTGTACTTCCGGCAAAAGGTGTTGAGAGTTCTAACAAAAATTTCCAAATTATAATAATTGTATAAAAATGAGTGGCTAAAATTACAAGAAGGAAATGATCTTCGTTTCTCTCTTTACTGCATAGACACCAGAAAGAAATAAAAAAATGTCTTCCATTTAAAATTTCTTCTCATAATAATGCAAACAAAACTGCAGAAGAAAAAAATATTTTCCGAAGGAAAAATTTTTAGTAATAACGGAACGCTAGCAATTTTTATCTTGTTATAAACATACAATATTTGCATCCATAATATTAGATTTTAAACAGGAAATTTGTCGCTAAAATGGATTTGTCTGTAATATGCCGCAATCGAATTATGTCGAATGTATTAAGCGAATAATAAAAATTAAAATAAGTTAACTTTAATGCAGAATTTTTATTAATATATTTTTCATGCTTTTTTCATTATTTTCTATTAGTTTTGGTCAAATTAAGGGGAAAATATTATATTTGGCATTTTAATAATTTATGGTTATAGAATACAATATGAAACACAGGTCTCTTTTTCCGCGTTAAAGGTAAAATATTCCAAATACGGCTCACTTCCAAGAAATAATTTTTCGAATTTACTCATACTTGCAGTTATTTAGATCTAAGAGAAGCACTTATTCATCATGGATATTTCTTTAATTTACAAAGTCGATTGTTGATCACTTTTTTCTATATGAAAAAAAAAATTTTTTTTTTGGAACTTTATATTTTAGTACAATTATAATTCCGACAATCTAATATATTTTTTCGTAACTGTCAGTTTGTTTTTGCTTTTTTATATATAATTAATAATATCAAAATATATTTTTGCTTGTAATTAGAGCATCAGAAAAAGTATACACCGCCTTGAGGCAATACAATGATTAGACATCTTATCCAGCGGTTCTAAGGATCGTTTTTTGTGAAAATTATCATAGTTTACATATTGTTTAAAGATGTTTCTGTACATTGTGTTGTAGAAATTCTGGAAACTTAAAAAAAAATGCTTATTTTGAAACAATACTAAGAAACCATAGTAGTAGTAGTAGTTGATTACACCCGTAGTAGTTGACAGCCATTTGATGTAAATATTTATCTGGAAAGAATACTTAGACCCATTTGATGTAAATAAATGTGATAATTGATGAAACCTTCAAAAAAAGTGTGATTTTTGCAGATTATTCATACGGTTAGAACATCTTTAAACAACATCTTTTTAACAATGAAAAAAGTGGTAGTACATTACTGTATCATTATCAGGATTTATTTAAAGGAAACTTGTTTTTTATCAGTTTTAACACGTTAATAATATGAATATTTATCTGAAATAATAGTACAGTTCTTCTTTTAAAACTAAAGAGGTAAGCGACCGAAAAAAAGCTCACATAAATGATATTTATGTTATCGATCAATTATACATTGTGATGAACGATTCTCCAATATCAATTTCACGAGTAAAATAATTTAGTTAACAGTCTTTATCTTTCAAACAAAAATTTCATTTCAGCGAGATCAAATAATGGAAATAAGCAAAATTAGCATCGTTGTGTACTAGAAGTATAAAGTATAAGAAGTATCTGATAACAAATTTTGTGTGACAACACACTGCAACCATATGTGTTCTTATCAAAAAGTCCATAAAGGTATCAAAATGTCTAAAATAAATGAGAGTATATGGGCAGTCCCTTATCTTTAAAAATTACATAGAAATTAAGATTCAGATAATCTTTGAAGGGGTAGACAGATAACAACTATTGTCACTCAATATTAAGGTTGAGTCACAAATCGGGTTTGAAGAGAACGTTTTTCATTTAAATAGATAATAATTTACAACCTAAACGAACCATATTTTTTATATTTGATTAAAATATATAATTTCGAAAAAAATAATTAAAAATATTTTTTTACGACGAATTTTAAGATTCTGCGCTTAGCTTTATAACCATCCATGGATTTATACTATTTATGAGTCACCATTTCTTACATTTTCAGTCATCAGTTTCATACTTGAGAATGTAAATATTTTTAGAAGCTGCTTAATTTTCGGATTTGGGAAATAAATTTATAATTAACTTGTATATGTATTTAGCTAAATAATCCATAATTAATGACATTTTAAAGATAAATCAGAGGTTAAAAAGGAAATATATCCACAACTGATCTTTATCAGATAAAAACCAATAACTTTCACTCTTACAATTTTTAAGGAATCAAACACTTTAAAAAAAAAAAAAAACGATAAATAATTATGCAAATAATCATATATTTAAAAATAATGAATGGTTATTAAAGAAAAACGAAAGATTTTTTTTTTAAATTTTAAAGATTTTGCTTATATATGCATTTATTTACTTAATTTATTTTTATTTCTTTATTTTTTGAATGGTAAAATAGTAATAAAAAAAAATAAAATTAACTTACGCTATCCACGGGATGCTCATTTTCGATCGGCGACGCTGAGTGAACACCCCCTTCTGATCACTTACCATTTTTTATGATTGTTCTTACCTATTGTGTCAAAATTATCTATCAAGGAGGGGGGGACGGAGAAACAAAGTAGATACACACTACATAAATCAAAATATTAATAACTTTATCAGATTAACAATGAAAATACTTATCAGATTTTTAAGGTAAATTTATCTAAACTGATGTTATTTAAATGTTTGAAACAAAGTATTTTCTATGCTAAAGTTCAGCATTTTGTTTAAATTATTCAGGGAGAGTATACATGTTTCATTTTATTTTTAAAATATTACAAAAATTTACTATGTGTTTTGATCGGATACCACTGTTATTTTTTTTTTCAGTTATAATTATTTTTTTAAAATGTGCCTGTAAAAAATTTATTATTTAAAATCGGCGGTAATTGGGTACTCCAAGAAAAAGAACACGATACACACACATGTGACCTATGACGTCAGCTCCAGCTGATCGTTTATAAACAAAATGGCGTTAGAGTTGAGCTAAATTTCTCCACATAAGCTAGAATGTAAATTAACGTGAAGTTAATTAAATACGACGCCGTATCGCCCATCGAATTTGTTGAAATATAATTATTTCTCGTCTACGTATTTTACTTAACTTAGATCCATTATTTGTTTATGCATTTTAGTGTTATGTATTTAGTTTGTTTTGAGTACCTGGCAACTTCTACGCACAATTAGTTTATGTTCTACATGGCTTCATGCCTGTCATTGTGTTAAGTAAGAAATATGTAATAAAACAATTGAAATTTTTGTAAAAGAATCTTTGTGTAAGAATATAGAATGTGTCATTAAAGAGAATTGATACTTGACGGGCTTGGCTTACACGATATAGAATAGAAAGAACAGTTGTTATCGTAAGCAAATGCCACGTTTCTACAACCAATCAAAATAGATATACCCACACTACGTCACTTGCAGGTATCCCTTTGAAATAAAAGAAGAAAAGAGTGATCATGTATTCCGAGGCAAAATTAATGAGAAAGTGGTACTAATTCGTTTAGAAGAAACATAAAAATCGCCATACTATTATTAACACAAACGATTCTTAATTAATTTAGGAAATATATGTACATTGAAGTTTTTTTAAAAAAAACAAGAGTAATAGTACTTACTCGTTTGGAGGAACCGTAAAAAAAATTGCCATACTATTATCGACGACAATGATGCTTAATTAATGTTGGTGAAATGCATTAGTTGAAATTAAAAAAAATTAAGCAGTTTGCTGTAATTGAAAAATTTAAAATAAGCTATGTATATTCGAAATTCGATTAAGGGAACCGAAGAAAATCGTTCTACACAGGTGACGTTTAATTATTATGGTACTGTGTACTACTGGTATTATGGTAAATACCATTATTATGCTAAGTACCAGCAGTACATAGTACTATAATAATTACCATTTACCATATTGTACTATTGTTATTACGGTAAATACCACTGGTACAATATGGTTAATGGTGCAATTTTGATAAGAGTTCTACAACGGGTTCTCCATTGTTTCAAAAAGTATTTTTCCAGTGGTAGCAAAGATAGTGTATTAATATTTAAATGAATTCGAATTAAAAGAACTTTTTTACACTACTAATTTTAAATATTTTAAACGTAGCGTTTAAATGGTCGGATTGAAAAATGGTCATGCTCCTAAGTCCTTATCAAATTCCTATTTAATTTTTTTCCCTTCAAAAATGTATATTCGGTTTGCTGCCACAGATGAATTTTTTTCGCATAAAACTCAAATGTTGAAGGGTTATATAACCGTTGACATATGTCATAAATACCAAATATACTAATATAGGTATAAAATATTATAATGATAATTTTGCCCCTCGAAAGAGATATGTATCGGAGAAAATTGATAATGGTAAATTTTGACTATCATAAGTTGATCATTGATGATCAGGTTTGACTATCCTGAGTTGAGCGAGCAATATCATCATGCCAACTGATGATAAAAACAGTTAATCTCTATTCTGATGAGAGGAACTAAGATAAACGAGTTTTGCTCAGCTTCATAACAGAAAATCATGAGAAAGGGTGACAAATTAAAATAAGTGGAAAATTTTATAGAAAAACGTAAACATTCTCATCAGGAGGCATTCTTTTACAGCGAAATAGACATTTAATAAAGAACAATTATCTCCGTTAGAAGTTAAGAGTTATTCTTTTTTTAAATGGAATTTTGAAGAATAACTACCATTTTCCCCCTGTTTTATGTATTGGAATACACTTAAAAGAATCATTTAACTCAAACATAAAAGTTTTATTATTTCGTAAGAAAACTATTTCATTATATGGATAGGGGATCCAAAATATTAAATACACAATAAACAAGTAAATAATTTATTTTAATTTATTTATTTATTAACTTATAAATTTAAATTTGATTTAAAATCATCGATCTGATATTGTTTGAAACTGAAATGTTTTGGCGATTATAAAATTCAATTCTTTATGCAAGCTGATTTCACTAGATGTGATGCAAATAATTTTTTTCAAGAAAGAAGGGAGATGCAATTTTTAAAAGTTTAAGCATCTATCTCGTGTGTTTTGAAAAAAGTATATTTAGCATTTTGTTACTGTGTCACAAATTGATTTAGCTATACAAGAGATTTCCAGTGATCAAAGGGATTTTCCTTGTCCATTTTTTTAACAACTATTGCGTCATTGATCGGTCAAGCACATCTTTACTTTTTTCCCTCAACATAAATTCGGTGAACATTTGAGGCATAATTATGCCCTTAATAGTGCATTTGTCTGTTTGTATTAACAAGACAATACTCATAGTAAAAAAAAAAAAAGTAGGGTATTAGGTCTCCACTAAATCATTATTTTTTAATATTCCGCAAGCGAATTCTTAAGTTATTATTATTCAAAGCTGACAGAGATCAGAATTTTCCATTGCTATTTATACATCACTTAAATGATGAGTAAAACAAGAAATAAAGGAAACATGTAAATCGTTGAATGCGGATCACAAAATTATACTAGCATTAAGTACCAAACGGCTAAGGCCCAGTTCGCTAGCGCTCAACAACCCCGATGATTGCTACACAACAATTGCTGTTTCTTGGCATAAAACAGTTGAAATTATTCAACTAAAAGTATATGTACTAAAAAAAGCTTTTGCCCTGCCACTTCCCAAGTCCGAATATTTTCCCTTACGATACAATTAAGATTTATTAGTGAACATAAGCCATTTTTCTAAGTAATAATTTTTTGAAATAACATTTAAAATTAAATGTTTATTGTTATATCAAATTTGAGGAGTTCACAACTGTAATTTACTATTTTTGCATTCGTGAATTTGTGAATAAAGCTGAAAGTTAAGTTCTAAATCATTTAACGAATCTCTTTAACCGTAATTCATAATAGTATATTAAATTTTCACCAAAAAATAATAATTGTAGAACGGTTAATAGGATCAGACACCGATTTAAATAATCTTAAATAGTAACGTAGAATTACGTTATTCGAATAATAGTAATGATAAAAGGAATCCTCTTAAATTCTTAATTTAGAAAACAAACAAAATCAAAAACACAATAATAATAGTACAAGTAAATACCTTTAAATTAGGGATGAAAAAACATTTGTAGGAAAATAATGCCTTTATGACTTACATCAATTTTTTAATGACANTAATTCATATTTAAAAAATCATTATAGATCAGTCTGAATACGCTGTGTGAATCTTTTCTAGGCTGAATATAGTGGCGGAGGACAAATCTATAAAAAATCAGTGTGAACAGTGAAGTGACTTAATATCGGGTTACTCTTACAATGTTATACTGGTTAAATAGCTGTGACGAATGGCTGAAAAAATATAATATGAACAAATCTTTGGCTTAATTTCTCCTGAGTAAATCATACAAACTCTTTATTTGGTTTAATCCTAGGGAAGAAGACCCAAATCATTATAAGAATGAGTATAATTTGTACAATTTTCTTTACAACTAGAGGTAAGTAGGCAATTTATTTATGTCGCATGGCCTGCATTTTTTTCTTCTTGTACTTTGTAGTTCTTTTTGTAGCTGAGCTGAGCGAAAGTTCTCTTTCAGTTGGAAACATCCTCCTTTTTCAGAAGAAATATTTGCTAAGAAGATCCATTTAAAAAAGCTGATAGCGCAAAAGTACCATCAAATCAATGATGTGAGAAATATAATCATTACAACTTATTAAATCTCTCGTCTCTTCTTCCAAAGAAAACTGATTAACTACCAAGAATAAACCATAGTTACATTTTTGCTTGTCCTCTATAATAAAACTTTTTTTTTTTAAGCCACCCAATATTGTTTTAAACATTTTCGTAGATTAAACTTTTGGCTGTGCTAATGCCCTATTATTAATATCCCTCTGGCTTCCTCTTTTTCCCCACGCTGAGATTTTCCCTATAAATGACGTAATATTTGACAAATCGCGCGGAAGCTGCACGTGATGGTGAGCTTTCATTCGCTTTCTCATTCGATTCGCATTTTATAACAACGAAGTATGGAAAAAGTTCATTGAAGGCTTGGCAATGAGAATTTTGTGCTCTGTCCGCTGTTTGCATTATTTACTAAAATTGAGAAGCTGCTCATGAATCATCTGCATGTTGTCATTGAGCGTTTTAAATGAATAATTATAATTTTGATTTCGCCGATTAGTTTTAATTTGAAAACATGATTTTATTTGTGATATTTACTATTTGTTTGTTTCATTTTTCTCGTCCTACTTGTATATTTGAAGATGGGAAATACGATTTATCCGATCTGGATTGGTAAGTGATTTTAATTAAGTATTCGCTTTGTAATTATAAATTTGCTGCCAAAGCTTATTGACGCTTTGCTATTTAATATTTTTTTCTCACATTGATGGATTTACGTGTTACATTTTAAACTGTTTAACTTTCCGTTAGTTCAAAGTAAACAATTACAATTATATTGGCCATAATTAGTTTTCTATCTCCATTGTATTGTCAATCATTTGTCTTAACAGTGTTAAATTTAAACAAGATGATTATAATTATTTCAACAGAAAATTTTTTCACTTACGTAAAACCATATGTTAGATTCCTATCCTTACTTCTGGTGAATATTATTGACAATAAAATTTATTAGCATGATTGCATAAATGTATGCTCGTATCTTTTATTTTTAAAAAGTTCATATTCCACGTATTTATTTATTTATTATTATTTTTTTTGAATGCTTCGTATATTGGGTATGAACAACAATTTGCCGGGAATACTCCCTCATTAGTTGTAGTTCCCTTCCGTTTCTACTTATGATTTATAATTTTTGAATAACTAAAGTTTATATTGCAACCAGGGTTTTATACTTTGTGTATTTGCTTTCTTATTTGGTGTAAAAATTTCGTGTGATATAGTTTTTGTGCATTTAAAAGTAACATATTTGGGTTAGGTACTTATTGACAGTGTATTAAATTTTTATTGTTTTTTGATTACCTTCACGTTTAAATTTTTTTAATGGCTATGACTATCAGGATCATAGTTTGGGGTATGACTGATTAAATTTGCAATATAAATTTTTCTTATTTGCATGTAAATGCAAAAGAAACAATAATTTGTCTATTATTTTGTAAAAGAGAGAAGATTTCTGTTGGGGATCCTACAATAAAACGGTTTTTAAGGTTTGACAAGAGTAAGACAGTGATTCCACTAGATTTTTTAAACTACAGATCCAAGGATTATAATATTTCTGCTTCTCGTTGTGCTAAAAGCATTCTTTTTTTTAAATATTAATTTGTAGCCTCATTTTTTTTATCTATTCATATTCACATCCATAATTATTCTATCCAGGCAGTTCGAAGGAAAATAAGACATATAGTGGATAAATATTTTTCATCAAATTGATGTTTTTTGTTTAATTTTTTAGTTAAAAGTATAAAGAAATCTAACATAGAAGCATTTTTCTTCAGTTTATTTTTGATAGTCTATAAAATAAAATTTTTCTTTTTTTACATCAGAACTATAATATTTCTGGGTTAAAAAAATTTGGTTGTTAAAAGTAGGTCCTTTTATTAAAATATAAATTTTTAATCCCCTTTTTCCATATTGGCGATCGAAATGGGCTGCAGGTGGCGTAGAGCAGAACTCTTTTCCTATGGCAACACTTCACATGCTTTCTCCATTAGCGTGTGGAAAGTCATAGAGGAAGGAAGTACGTTTGTTTCTCTCTTGATTTTCAAATAGATTAAAATCTTTTAACTTGAAAAACTATATGGAACTGAAAACTACATTAAACATAGTTCTAAAGAAAAGTATCACGGAAATTTTAGAAAATATTTTTATTAAGTAAAAAGGAAAAATATTAAGAAAAGGGAAAATATCGTAGTACATTCCTATATAACTGAAAAAAGGAGGAGAGGGAAGGGAGAAGGGCTAAAGGCATGAAACCGGTCTCTCCCCAGATAGCGTATTCGAGTGTTGCGATCGCGAATATTAATATTCACCTCCATAATTCTTCTATTCCGGCAGTTTCATAGAAAATAAGACAGTTATTGTATCATTCTCATGGGTTTAATAACTAGAAGCAGAGTATTCCGTGATTATTCTGGGAGTCAAAAACTTAAAATCTGACAAAATTTTGAAATTTTTGCTAAATCCTGTTAACGAGACGTTTACATACATGTGATTCATCTGACAATTTAATTCTTTTTGTTTGGCAGATTTTTGCCATTTGAATATTTGCAACTGAGCCAGAATCTGTTTATATCGGGAATCGTGATTTTCATTCACTCGATTTTAATATTGAACATCGATTTTTGTATTTACCCAATTTGAAAGTTACATGTTGCGATTCATGCAATTTAAATATTCTACATTGCGATTCTTATCGAGATGATTTAAAATTCCAATATCTCATTTTAAATTTACACAATTAAAAATTCTTTGCGTTTTTGATATCCACTATCGCAGTTCAAAGTAGATTTTAAAACCCGACATTTTGATTCTCATTCATGCGATTTTTAAGTACAATATTGCAGATTCTTGTATGAAATAAGTTTTTTCTTGAATTAGTTACTGAAATGGTGTGATATTCTTCATCAGTAAGTAATTTTATTAAAAATGCTAGCTTAAAAAATGTTAAATATGAAGCATGTTTGATATATAAATTGACATCTTAATACCAATTTTGCACCTAACATTTTCAGGGTTTTTCACTTAGTGTTACAATTACCCATGATAGTGGAAGAATTTTTTTTCTTCAAATTCAATTGTCGTATTTTATATAATGTTTTAGTTAAACGTACGAAGAACTCTAACCTTGAAAAAATTTTGAATCTCATAGCAAATTACTAATTCTTGTAGGAATTTTGTTTGCTTTGTTAAAGTATTTTTTTACAATATTTAAGTTTTTTTAATTAATTCATATTTAAAAAATCATTAAAAAAATTTAATACTGTGATAAAAAAAAGGTCTTTTAATTGTTCTTTGAATTACAACAATACTAACCAAAAAATTATAATAGTTTATTCTAAATTAGAATTATTTTTTTAAAATCAAAAACAGTCATCTGGATTTGCTAATTACCTGTATTTTTACAATCGCCAATGGTTTGAAACTGATCCATGCAACTTACAATTGTTCTAAATTTAATTTTGTAACAGGAGCACATTTTTGAAACAAAAATAACCTCAAACTTTTATGTTTATTGAATTATATTTGCCATTTTAACAAATTGCACTTGCTGCAAAATAATGGAAGTTTTAATTAAATAGCTAAATTCAAATTCAGCATATTTACATCTCATCAACTTAACAAAAATTTTGGATCAGAATAACACTTGCTTGTTGCAGTTAATTTTATGGAAATTCCATTCGCTAATAACAAATTTAAAATCACCAACCTTATTAAATTTGGAATTTGCAGTTTGTTTCAAAATCATATTTTTTTTAAAGTTTTCTAATTTTTATAAAACTTTAGATTGGTTCACACCATTGGTGAAGACCAATAAAAGCTGATTATAGAAATCCAATTATGTCATGAGCAAAAATACTTTTTAAATAATTAGAAGAATACTTGAAAATTGATCAAGAAAAAAGTGTATGTCGAAAAATTTTTTCCTCAGAATGTTATCAATGTTTTAATGAAAACATCGACGCGAGATTTTATTAATTTAAATTAAGTGAATATGAAACACAATGTGTGATTTTAGAATCGTGTTAATTCAAATTTTGATGTTTGATTTTAAAATTCTGGGAATACGACGAATCTTAAAAATTAACTTTAAAATCGCCTTATTATGAATTCCGTTTTAAAATTAAGTCATTTGAACACAAATCATAATAATGCCTTTTTTGCACAATATTTGATATAAAACCATCGAAATACCAATTACAATGCACGATTTTAAATCTAGTAAATGTAATTTTAAATCTCATTTGCTTAGATAGGAAAAAGCATAAAAGTAAATCTTTTTTTTTCTTCTCTGGAATTCAAAGAAGATCTGATTATAATGAACTTTCTTTGAAAAGGCCAGTTTATTTTATTAATTGAACTGAAAGAAAAAAGCAGAAAACACTCAACCAGTATACCTGAAAGTTAAATGCAGAAAAGTCGTGGGAAATGTGCGACTGTGCGAATCAAAGATTAAAATTCTCATATCAATCTCAACCAGAGTGACCTGGGCATTAGGATAAGATAATTTGCAGTTTTTTTTCTTATTAGTAACACTAACAAAAATTTTCACAATGCTTACAAATTTTCCGCTACTGGCATTCTTCCATGTTACAAAGGACAATGTAAAAACAAGCACACAAATAATCATTTAATAGCATCCTTTCATTAACATTTTTTTTTAAAAAATTTTATATTAACCATTTTAAATATAAAATCAAAAATTGTAGTTTTTATTTTGTAGCAATAATAAGGTTATTATAATTTTTTTTAATGAAGTTTGTATCTGTTGCATAAAAATTATAACATAAGTTACAAGAGCTTTTTCTTTATTTGCCACTTAATGTAATTCCGTCTGTACTTTTAAAGTTTCGTGTTAATTTGAAGTTTTTTTTAAATAAATTTAAAACAATAATAAATTCATTATTGCTTTAGAAAAGAATTTTAGAATAAAAATATGTTTTACCCTATGTCACATTCTATAGTTTTATATGTTGCATTTTATATTTTCATAATAAATGAAATATGTATTTATAATTTTCACCTAGCTTTTTCTTGTATGCATAATAGTATTAGGCTATTTAAAAACATCCCTTGAAATAACAAACACATTTTTTTTAAATTTTTTATTTTATTAATTTATTTTTTGTTAAAAAATATTATGTGATTGCTTTCAAAATGTGGCTTTATTTAAAGTAATATAGAAATCTAAGTGATACAGAGATGTTTTTGCGATGTAAAAGCGAAAATTCTTTTTTGAAACTTCTTAATATTTTTTTTAAATTCTAGATATCTATTTTCTTAAAAAAACTTTTATGAAATTTTCAACTGAGTAATATTAAAACGTTTTCTTATATTCTAGTTTAAATTATGGATTTGTTGTGAAAAATTAAAGGATTTTCCTTGTGTGTTTTTAAAGGATTTTAAGGCAGAGGACAGTAATTACGTTTTCCGTGTAATTATAACTTAAAACGGTCTTTAAATTTTTATTTTAAGAGTTTGTTTATTGTGTGTCATGGATTTGTATACTTTAATGTTTGTTCTTAATGTATTAGTTATCAAGATTAAGTTAATTAAGCTGATCTTTTTTCTAATTGCCTTATGCAAAAGTTATCATGTTGAGCACCCATCTATTCCATGGATTCCAGTAAAAAATTGTAATAAAAACATATCTATTGATTTAGATTTATTTTTTATGTGAAGTTTTAATTGTCACAATGGCACAAATTTATTAATTGCACACTTCAATTATAGTAAACTTGAATTTCAGAATATTTTGAATGTACTGCTAGCTCTTTAATTAATTGATGAATCATTTTGTAATAATTTTTTTCTTTTATATCTTTTCTCAGGATTCGAGGATGGCCAGTTTCAATACCAAAAATAAATGGAGAGCTTGCAGCCTTCGAAATCAATATTTGTCGACCTGTCCAGTCATCAACTGGCTGTGTAAATAGTTCTGTATGCCTTGTCACTCGTAACGGATCTACGAGTTATGGAGACGCTGTGATGGAAAAATCCTCTAACTATGCTATTTCAGATAGTTTCGGTGGTGGTTTTTCCTTGTATCTTTTGACCGAAGTTAAATGTGGTGCAATAGGTGTGTATCGTGCTGCCATCAATTTTGCCTGCGGGCCTTACTTAGGAGCACCTGAATTAATTTTAAGAAGTGAGTGTCAAGCCAATTTTTATTGGAGAACTTTAGCCGCCTGTAAAGAGAAACCAAAAGTTAAACAAGTACCTTGCTATGTTATTGATGATCAGGGTAATAAACGGGATTTATCCCCACTTATTATGCCAGAAGGTGGTTATTTTGTAAATACTCCAACTCCGGCTATGGATTTCGTGATCAATGTGTGTGGAAATATAGTTCCTGACAATAAGACAGAAGGTTGTCCTGACGCTGGAGCTTGTAGAATTATCGGCAGTGAGAAAATTATGTTTGGTACACCTCGTAGGAGAGTTTTATCGCACGAAGAAGGTCTTACTCTTACCTATACAACACTAGGTTATTACACTAATTCTGGTTGTAGGATGAAACCAAAAACGACCGTCACTTTTAAGTGTCCATCTCGTGGACATAGTCAACCACCTAAAATTATTTCAGACAGTAATTGCCAGTATGATGTTGAATGGGAAACTGAATATGCTTGTCCTGAGAATACTCTGAAAGGGAGTATTAAAGATTGCAAGTTTTCACTTGACAATCATGGTGTTGAAATTGACTTGACACCGTTGAAAATGAAAACTTTTGTGAACGTTACTAGCAGTGATGATAAAAATATCCATTTTGCTTTAAGTGTTTGTAGTGGATTAAATAATTATACTTGTGGAGACAAGCATTGGAAATCAGTGGCAGCATGCATGGCAAATTCATCAGATAACTCATTTCAAGTTATTGGAACCACTGATAAATCAAATTTCATGTACGCAGATCAAGAAGTCATTTTAACGTACCCAAAAGGTGCAGAGTGCAAAGGTAATGGCGTTGAGCAATCATCTACTATAAATTTTGTTTGTGATTTAAATGCTGGTGTTGGTGAACCAACTCATTTATCATCTGATTACTGTGCTCATATTTTTGAGTGGCGCACTAAACATGCCTGCTTGAAAAATCCTCTCGACACTCCTTGTTCGGTTACTTATGATAAGAAAAAGGTGAACCTTCAAAAGCTTTTGCTCCTTAAAGGTGATCCGTGGGAAGCAGTCGATCGCAGAGTTCTGCCCAGTAAAGACAATGCTGAATATTATATTAATGTTTGTGGACAGGTTTCTAATTTAGACAATAGTAATCTCATTAAATGTGGTGAAAGCTCCTCTGTTTGTGTCTTACTTTATAATGGGACTTATTTAAATCTTGGCAATTTTACTACTGCTCCTGTTTATGATGAAATTTCCAAGTCCATTAAATTGCATTACGTTGGTGGTAGTTTTTGCAATGGTGAAAAATCTTGGTCATCAACTATTTCATTTGTTTGTAGGCCAGGGCATATAAATTCAGGTCCGGTTCTTACTAGAATCAATGATGTAGATTGCATTTATGAGTTTCAATGGCTTACAGCTGAAGCTTGTCCTGAAGGTATAATTGAAGGCATTAATTGTAAAGTGTATGACAGTAAATTAGATATAAACTATGACTTAAATTCTTTAAGGTCAAAAACGTATCAGGTAGATACTGAAAACTATAAATATTATTTGGGAGTTTGTGAGCCTGTTCAAGATACACCATGTTCTGCAAATAAAAATTCTTCTGATAATGTGGGAGTTTGTCAAGTTGATAAAGTGAATAATTCTTCGTGGAAAACAGGAGAGCCAACATCTCATCTTTCTTACATGGATGGAGTTGTGAATTTAACATATTTAAATGGGGATCCTTATAATGATGCGAATAACACTGCTCGAATGACTATGATTATATTTATCTGTGACTATCATCCTAATAACAATAGTCCATATTTTGTTGAAGAAGTTGATTTTGCATACGTTTTTCATTGGTATACTGATTTAGTTTGCCCCAAAGTTCCATCAATGGACTGTTTAGTTCATGATCCAGTTTCTCATTTAGTTTATGACTTATCTGGACTAGCACTTACTGGACAGAATTGGGTGACTATCATCAGTGAGGACAATAAAGAAAGGCAAATTTATTTAAATGTATGTAAATCTTTGGCAGGACCAACTGGCTGTAACCCGGATGCTGCTGTTTGTGCAGTTGAAATTACCGATATAGGTGAGAAAGTTGTTATTCCTAACCTCGGACGAGTTAACTCACCTCCTCTTTTAGATAGTCCTGGTCATCTCTCTTTAACATATACTAATGGTGATCCCTGTCGAGCATTTGGTGAAAATACCACTTATTCAACTGTAATACATTTTCTTTGTGGAGAACAAATATCTAAAAATGGACCAATATTTTTAAGCAGATTAGGAGCTTGTGAGTATGCATTTCTTTGGAACACAAAAGCAGCTTGTCCTACAGCTAATTTAGAAACTAGAGATAGTTGTCAATTAACTGATATTGATTCTGGTTTTACTTTTGATTTATCATCTCTATATATGAATAAACAGCCCTATGTAGTTCAATCACCATCACGTACTTTTCAGTTAAATATATGTGGAAAAATCAACCAGGGTTGTACACCTTTTAATGGCATTAATCCATCAGTAAATGTGAGTGCATGTGAAACTGATAATGATGGCAATATATTGTCAGAATTGGCTATTTCAAATTCTTATAGCCTCAGTTATTCTGATGGACAGTATTTAACTCTCACTTACAAATCTAACTCATCAACCACAGGTTCTGGTAAAGGAATAGCCATAAAATTCCCTTGTACTTTAGGAGCACCTGATCAAAGTCCTGTTTTTATAGGTAATGAAGGTGGACAATATGTGTTTGAAATGAAAACCAGCCTCACTTGTATGACTTCTCAGTTTGATTGTAATATTGTTGATACCAATGGAAATGAATATGACTTGAATCCACTTGCAAAGTACAGTGATGGAAATTGGGAAGCTGTTGACCACAGGCCGGAATACTCCCATTTGCGGTATTATATAAATTTCTGCCGTCCTTTAAATAAAGTAAGCTCTTATAATTGCCCAGGGGGTAACTCAGCGGCATGCCAAGTGAATACTGCTAATATTGGTAGTAACGGTATCGATTTAGGTTCTCAAAAAAGTGATCCTCTTGTTAGCCATAGAGGAACAGTTGTAATCCGATATGTTGATGGCTCTCTGTGTCAAAATGGGCAGTTTAGCCGAAGTACAACTATAAATTTATTCTGCTCGAGTAAAGAGGGAGATTTGATATTTATTGGGGAAACTCCAGAGTGTGAATTTGTGTTTTCACTTGATACACCTGCAGCATGTCCTATACAGAACAATGTAGGAAATAACTGCATGGTGAAAGATCCTATATTTGGTTACATGTTTGATCTCAATCCTCTTAAAAGCAAAAACAATAATTACAATGTAACTGTTGGAGAATATGTTTATTTATTTAATGTTTGTGGTAAGTTGAATGGATTAGAAAATGTTTGTGCCAACTCCAGTTCCTGTCAGACCAAACCTTCGGATATTGGCTTTTCAAAAAGCCTTGGTTTGCCAAATGATGATCTTGTATATAGGAAAGGTCTTATTACACTGGAATATCAGTTTGGATCAGGAAATTGCCATGGCAAATATAATAGATCTACAAAAATTACTTTTACTTGTCATCATGGCCGAGAAGATAAGGATGGTCCCTATTATGTGTCTGAAGCTGAAAATTGTACTTATTTGTTTGAATGGCCAACTGTGCATGCGTGTCCTCCTTTTGATGTCATAGAATGTTCAGCTGTTGATGAAAATGGAACCCATTATGACCTTAGCAAACTATCATTGCTCAGTGACAACTATTATGTTAAATATCCATTTTCAGATAAGAACACATTTGTAATTAATGTGTGCCGCAGTGTAGTCCACACCTCTGATTCTCTTTGTCCTTATACATCAGCAGTTTGCTTAGTGGACAACTCAAAACCATCTGAGCCTCTTAATCTTGGGCGGGCTGTGCAAGCTCCATACATTGATGATGGTAAAATAAAAATGAGGTATTCTTCTGGAGATCCATGTAATGAGGAACATTCAAGTACAGCAAGATTTTGGCAAACTATCATAGAATTTAGTTGCAGTGAACATAATATTGATAGTAGTCCACAATTTGTTGGCAAAGATGACTGCACATATTATTTTGATTGGCCTACTGCTTATGCTTGTCCTGCAAAGACTGCTGTGAGCAATAATGATTGTACAGCTTTAGACCCAACTACCAACTTCCAATATAATTTGACTGCTTTGAAAAACCAATTATTTATTTCTAATGTTTCTGGCTATCGCTATACCTTAAATATTTGTGGAAGCAATAGTTCTAACCCTTGCGGGTCGAATAGCGGATTATGTCAAGAGGAAATTGCTGGCCTGAAAAGATCTTGGAATGGTGGAAAACCGAATGGAAATTTGATGTTTACTGGTGAAGGGTTAATGTTTCTTAATTACACAGGCGGAGATGAATGCCACGATGGTCGTTTCAAGCGCAATACTATCATTGAATTTGTTTGCGGTCCAGATGTAGGTGAACCACAGTTTATGTATGAAACACATGATTGCACATATTTCTTTAGCTGGAAGACAGAATTAGCATGTCAAGTAGCACCACATTGTGGAGTTAAGAATAACAGTCAGTATATTGACTTGTCTAGCTTCACTAAAACATATCATACAGCTGCCTCAGGTGTGTTAAATGATGAAGCATCATACTACATAAGTGTTTGTGGTCCTTTACCTACTGTGGAAGGAGTTTTTTGCCCCCCAGAAGCTGGTGTATGTAGAGTAACACAGAATGGAGTATCATCGAGCAAACTATGGCAGGTATACTTTTCAACTGATTTGATCTAATATTTTTTGGATAAATCTTTTGTTTTTTTTTCCAATTTAGCAAATTTTGTTCTTTCAGCATTGCTTGAAAATATTGACAAAACTAAAACTTGTCCTAAAATGTTACATGAGCAGGGTATCCTGCACCCCAATGCTTAAAATGCAATATAAAGTGTTACATAATTTTATAAATATTTATCATTTATAATAAAGAAATAATACTTGTAATATCACAAATAGCTTCAATAGTAAGTTTATAGAGAACTGAAATTAAAAAAACTAATAAAATAATCTCTCTGCTAAGTTAAATTCCATCATAGTTATATATAGTGGCATAGTGCTTATGTTATCTGTGTGCACTTTGAATGAAATACTTTCATGTAGTCATTGAAAAAAATGTTTTTATATTTGGATTATTTTCTTCAAGTTACTCTGTCCCCGGCTTGTTTGAAATATTTCTCTTTTTCTATATGATATTTAAACTTCTTGTTAAAGTCTCATTCACCGATGAATGTTTTGCAAGATTTTTATTAGCTTTAATACTAAGTCTTTCTAAAATGGCATTGAATCTCAGCTTTGGATGTTCAGACGATGAAGCGACCAGACATACTTTGACATCAGGCACTGATTATTGTTTGGTATGACACGTTTGTACTTTAATGAATAAACTCTATATTTTATCAATGAACGAGTATAATATTTTAAATAATATTTTGAGTTTAAACGTTCAAATTTCAACAAAATTAAAAGATACATGTCTATGTTTTTTAACACTTGTAAATGTTTAGAAACATTTTTGACCCACAGTGCAGTAGGGTATTGAGAATATTTAATATTCCACGAATTGAGAATATTTAACTTTTTTGTTTGGCTGGATTGGGATATACCACACCACGACTATTCACAGGTTAAAACTATATTTCTGCAACATTGAGAACCATTTAAAGTCAATATTTCACAATGATTGCATGTAATTATTAAGTGTGGGTTTGACTGATTAAATATTTTTCATGTAACCCAAGGGTCAGACATAAAACATTTGAATGTATATATCTAATTGAATAGCACATGAAACATTTGAATACATATACAGTCGGTCTTCAATTTGACAAACTTCCATTTTGCAATTTTTTCGAGGAACCAAAAACATTTTGAAAATTTCTTCGTTAAATAATTTCCAAATAGCGAAGTAAATTTTCTATTTAACACATTTTTCTTTGAAATCCTGTTTCCCTATTTCCCAAAATATTTCAGTATATTTCAAACTTGTTAACACATTATATGGGGAAATGACCTTGAATTGATTTTCACAGCCACTTTAAGAGAAAGCATGCATGCAGAAATCCATGCCAAAAATCAATTTACAAGAAAGTATAGCAGAAATTTCTAAAGCGTGGAACTATGATGTTACAGATCGTACTATTCGTAGCAGCTTTGCTAAAGCTGGATTCTTAGTCAGCGCAGAGGATAATATTCCTTTAGAAGAACTTTTTAAAAAATGTGGGTGCAGCTAAGAGAGAACCACAAAATTAACGATGATGTACTAATTAATAATTTTCTTTTTTATTGATTCTGAAGCTGCAACAGAAATATTAACTGAATCGAAATACTTGTGAACAGTGTGTAATATAAAAACAATACAGCAATAAATTGTGAGAATGATGAAGACAGAAATGATGAAGAAATTACCAAACCTTCATTTGAAACAATTTGATAGTAGATACTAGTTTACAAGATAAAGTTGAATCAGTTGCTATTTTAATTATGTCTAGTGTTTATGAATTTAAAACCTCTTTTGTGTTGTTTAAATATTTCAAATGGTGATTTTCTTTTTAATGAATTTTCCACTTTTATAACAAACTTTTTATCAAAATTTAGCATCGTTAAATAGAGGTCCGACTCTATATATATAAAAGCATAAAAATTTTAGGAACCAGTCATTCATTTGTGCTTACTGTATATATTGTAATTATGGAATTTAAATCTTATTTTGATTTATTCAATTAAAGACTTTAACAATTTTCTATCATATGAGAAAGTTATTGTTCAATATGAATACATTTCAATGTTTCAATTAATATTTTAAGTTTCTTTGCATTATCATTTAATATATATGCATTAATTAATTCAATAATGTTGCAGATTTCTTTTTATGTCAGTATTTAATTTTCATAAGAGTGAATAAATGTAATCCTCTAATTTTAATCTCTAGTACCTATAGATAAATATTTAACCAAAAGTCGTCTGTAATTATTTTTTTATTTCTATTTAGAGTTTAGGAAAAATGGAGCTGCCTCCTATGATTGATTTCATGGGTCATGTGACTGTCATCTACACCAATGGCTCAGTTTGTTTGAGTGATCCGCGTCTTCAAAATAGAGCTCGAATCATATTTATTTGTGATACTGAAGCCGGAATGGTGAGTTTTTGTTTGCTAAGAAAAACTATAAATAATGAAGATAATATAATTATTGATATTCAAAATGTTATAAATTACTTTGTTAAGTGAAGCACAATTCTGTACTATCTTTAAATGTTATTGGTATCAAAGTTAGTAGTTTTTTAAATGCTTTAATTGTATAAAAAAAATGATTTCTCATTTCTTTTGTAAAAATATTTTTGAATTATATTTGTTTATTATAGACTTAGATAGTTCATCTTCTGTACAGGATTTGTTAATTTATTTTTTTTTAAAAAAAAAAACATTTACTTAAAATTCATGGCTATTATTTTTTAAAAATAAATCTTTAATTTAGAAGTTTACAAGGCATTTTACATTCTTTTTTGATTTTCATAATTTAAAAATGTATTGTAAATATATTGCTGTGTTAATAAGTTTCAGTTAGAAAAATTATATTATTTATTACTAGATTTATAATAAATTGCAGCACTTATAAAATAATTTTTTGTTTAATTCTAATGAATTTCTTACAATGCAAATAATGAACAAAGTGAACATTTAATTTAGGATTTTTTTCATGCCTTTTTTTTCATCTATAAAAAAATATTATTGAATATAGTTTTTTTTTTCCATAAGAAAGCAGGATGATAATGAAATACTTATCAATTCTTAGTTCTAAAGCAATATCTACAAAATCACATTTTATTTTAATGTTGAAAATATATTCCAAAATCGTAAAACATTAATTTTTGGATGTATTGCTATAAATCAATTTTTAATGCAGTTACATAGTTTCATATCTATTGTCACAATTTATTTTCAATGATATTTATAGAATTAACATAATTTTAAACTGAAATTAAAAACATAAATAAATATTTAATTTGAATTTTAAAAAAAAGATCTGATTTAAATCAAATAAATCAGATTTTTTTAAAAAATCAAGAGCTTTGCTTTTAAATTTTTGTTTCTACTTTTAAAAGTCCTTGAGATTACAAACTAGCCTTTAGAAATTCTTGAATTTTATTTTGAAATTAAAATATATCCATGCACAATTTTATTGTAATTTAAAGAAATTTTTTTCCCATTCTTTTATTAACATTTATGATTTTTCAGGGTGAACCTGTGATGATATCTGATGAATATGATGACTGTTTGTACTTATTTGAATGGAGAACAAATGTTGTTTGCCCAGAAAAACCCGAGGAAAATATGGCATACTGTAACTATACAGACAGCAGCAAAGGCATTCATTTTGATCTCAGTTTGCTTATGAAAAAATCAGATCCTTATTATCAAGTGAGATCCTTTTTTTTATCACTGAAAAAATATTGAGGTATTCATAAAAAATATGTAAATATAAATTTTTTTTTTCAAATTTGAAATTTTTAAATTTTTATCATTCTTATCTGTTTAGTTTATAAAGAATGTGTACTGTTAATTAAAGACAAGTTAATTTAAAATATAAATTTTATTACTTATGCAAAATCTAGCTAACAAGACATTTATTCCCTCCTTACCACCACCCTCTGTTCCTCTTCTTAAGTTTTCATTCAAGCTTAATGACTCTTTTTTTTTAATGCAGAAGAAACGCAACATTATATAAACTTCTAGAACACAAGACTGGAAAAAAAATCAACAATAAATTGGCTAAAATTAATGAACTTCTGAAGCAAGCACCAAAAGAAATATAAAACTGATAATTTAAAAAATATTTACGAAATGATAAACATTTTAAAGATTGTCGCTAAAAAAAATTGAGTTTTTTCTAATTTTTATAAAAATTTTAATGAGTAGCAATTTTGTTGCAAATTTCGATTTGTAACAGAAGAGTTATTTCATGAATGTAATATATTTGCCCCATTTTTTACTTGCAATTAGATCAAATAGATTTCTAATATGATATTACAACATGGAAACTTTGAATCTTTCATTTCACTAATAACATTTCAATCCGCTCTACTAGCGTAAATCCTCATTTCAACCATTCCTTTTTTTAAAAGCATAATTGATATTGTCATAATTTTTAAAATTTCACGAACAAAACTTGAATTGCACATTTGAGTAATTACTTTTTGACGCGCTTGATTTGCTATCACTTTTTCGTCAGTTATCCTTATTGATTTTGCATATTCTTTAAAATCTCCCTACTTTTAATACAATATTATTTATTACAGCACTTGAATCTCAAATCATGTATTTATTAAACTCTTTATCGATGTGTCCGATTCAGGAGATTTCGTAGAAAATACTTGTGACTTTATCAATCTTTTTTCAGTTATTACCATATATTTCAAATTTGTTAATTTTTTTTTTTAATAAATTTTTTTTGAAGGGATGATGACTGGCTACGGAAAAATATGTACAGTTTTTCAATATATATATTCTTTTATATGTTAAAGGGAAGAAAAAATAGAGAAAATGCTGGGATGGCCTGGTTGGTAGGGCACTGGGCCTATGTCCAAGAGGGCGTGGGTTTGATTCTCGCCAGCTGAAGACTCCCCGTGTAGTAAATGGTGGCTGATGCACGTTAAATCTGCCGAGACACAAGGTCCTCCATGTTCCAATAACAAATCAGACCTCTGGGGGTATTGATCCAGGAGTTCATTTGTTCTCTGGATTGGTTCAAAATTATAGGGCTTCAAAGTTGAACATTCGTAGTCGTCAGCCCAAAATTAGGTCGGTTGTTCAAAAAAAAAAAAAATTGCTTTCGTGGAAAATGCTTGTACAAAAAGAAAAGAAATTAATTACTAAAAAAACACTGCACATTGAGGAAAAAATTTAGATAATTTTTTCTATCTGTAATCACGTGTCTGGTATTTTTTTATTTTTTAACCGGCGTTGAACAGCTGACCAAATTTTTGGTTTACGTCTACTAATGTTCAACTCCTTGTAATTTTGCCTTTAATTTTGAACCTATCCAAAAGACAAGTAAGCACCTGAATCAATACCCCCAGATGTATGATTCATTATGGGAACATGGAGGACTTCATGACCTGTCAGAATCAATGTGCACCAGTAATTTACTACACAGATAGACTTGATTCGCAGCGGGGACTGAACCCACGATCTCTTGGACATGGGCCCAGTGCCCTACCAACCAGGCTATCCTGACCCTTACATGTCTGGTATTATTATGTGTCCATCTTCCATAAAAAAAATTTTCAATTTCATATTGTCAAAAATATATTTTAAAAATTCCTATTTTACTTTCCTATTTAAAAATTACTACTTTCCCACTATCCTTACTTTAAGGGCTACATTTAATGAAGTTTTGAGTCCCATATAGTTTCCCAGCTTATAAAAAATTTACTTGGTAAGAAAATGAAGACAGAAGCTAACGTCCTTCTTACTCCAGGGTTGCCACAGGCGACTAAAGCAACTTTTTTTGCCTGAAAAGGCTTTTTAAAAAAAAAGCAACTATTTTCAGGAAAGGGAGACTATTGGGAGACTTTTCTGCACTCCTAGCGATGTTTTTTATTATTATTATTTTTTTAAGGCATAAATTGGGTGGAAAATCTGCACCCCACAAGATAGTTTTTGAATACACTGAATTTTTTTTTTCGTAAAAAATAAAAAATTTTGGATTGCAAATTTGAGTCTTCACTTTTTAATTCGTTCAATCTGCACAGACTCCATTGTAAGTCTATTTCACTTCTCGATCGCCTTTTCAATGATTATTGATAAAAAATTCTGCATGATTAAAAAAAAAAAAAAAATTAATACGATATTACGATGCGTGAATTTTTAGTCATATTTTTGATGAATTTTTGTTCTTATTTAGGCAATTATTTTCCTAGTTTTTGGCTACCATTTTCATGTTTTAGGCTACTAAAAGCAATTATTATTTTTTTTTATGTTGCAACCCTGTACTCCTATCCACATGCTAACGGTAAAACCATGCTTAGTGTTGCCGTGGGTAAAGAGTTCTGCTATGCGTCACTTTACCATAACCCCTTTCGATTGCCAATAAAGTAAGTCTGTTGGAAATTGACATCAAAAGGCTCTAGGTATTTTAAAATGAACTTTACAGCAAAGAAAAAGAAATTTTGAATGTTATGAAAACTTACATAAGCTTCCAAACCTTTAATTTTATATATTGCAAATTAAATTACCTGATATTTTAAGGCCCTTCTCTAAATTTAAAAAAAAAATTAGTTCATGTTTATTTAAAATTCCATATGTATATTCAGTAAAAATAAAATATGAATGTAATAGTAGTTAACATAGATTTATTGTATTTGTAAAATTTAACTTCGAAAGTTTTTTTCATAACTTTTTCTGATATTCTGATTTATTAAATTAAATGTTCTGAGGACAGATAATGTAAGAATTATGATTTATATTTATAGGTGACTAATCCAAGAACTCACAATCCTTATTTTATAAATGTGTGTAGTCCAATTAAGAATCTGACAAATTGTGAGAATGCTGGCATTTGTCTTCAGAGAGGAAAAGAGTTTTCTAGTTTTGGCTCCATTGATACTCAACAGTTTTCATATGATGGTCAGAGACTGAGGCTGACTTATTTTAATGGAGATGATTGCCCTTCTGGAGGTTTTTATTCAATTTGTATTTTTCTTTTTTTAAACTTATATTCTGAACTATAAATTTTTATTTGTCTAAACTACAATGTGGATAAAGGTACAGTCGAACTCGCTTATGACGAACCCTGATTTAGCAAGTATGTCTGATTTTACTGATGATAAATAATTTCAGCAATTATGTTAATTTTTTTACAAAACCAAGGGGTCATGAGTCTTACCCGAAGTACACTAACACAACGAACACACAATTAGTTAGTTCAAAACAAATTAACTAGCTTCTTTGGCACTGCTCAAATAAATAGAATAAAAAATAAATAAAGTACTATGTTTATAAATAAGCATTTATGAATGAATTTTATAATTGTTTTACAAACCTGCTTTTTGTGTGAACTTGGTTATAACAAGCCAGTATTATTTTTATTGAGCCCATGATGTAAGCCAGTTTGAATATATTGAATTTAAGTTACTTCTAATGTTTCGGAAACATTTTTGCAGCGTGAAGGTGTAAAAAGGACTTTTTTTTTTTTTACATATGTTTCATTTGTTGTAACTAATTTCAAAGCTAACTTTTTGACACTTTAGTAAACTTAGCTTGTGAAGTGAGAGAGAGTTATTGACCGTGCCAACCTTCATTTTTTAAAAGATACCAAATTGAATTAAGTTAGCATGTCTTATATACTAGTGAATTGATATTTAATAATTGTAGTGGTAATTATGCCACAAGCTCTTTTGTTTTTATGTCAGTAAATTTGATTATTTTCTTATTTAGGAATTAATTGTTTTAGTTTTTAGAAAAGAGATATATTGTATACATTATCAGTTTAAGCTTTAATTTATTCTATTAAAAGTTATGCTCTTAATTATTACTTAAGTTCTTCAAATCTTTTAACGCATTAAACCAACTTCTCATTACCTCCCAATCTTTGGCTTAGGAATAAGATTCCTCTAATCCTTTAAATTTTGCTCCTTGAAAATCTGTCATTATTTGTCTTCTCTTTTTTTTTCTCCTACTATCTGGTGTCCAATTTTGGTACTCTTAGCATTTGTTCTGTGCATTTTCATTCTTTCTTATTTGAATTCTTTCTCTATTGTGGAAAGGTTTGCTTTTTCTATTAATGTTCTGTTTCTAACTTTAATAGGCCAAATGATTTTTGAATGTCTGAGTTTCTAAGGCAGTATGTTTTAAGACTATATAAAGGAATCGCTCTGGCTATTGTTTCATGGATATTAATTTTTGTTCTGTATGGAATGTTTGACTTCCAGAATTATATAAGTATTCCAAGTTGACTTGTTACTATTGTATGTTCCAAAAAAATTAAATTAATTGTTATTATCTTAAAATGGCAGATATTATCTTCAGATTTAAAATTTCACTTTTAAAAAGTAATTTTTTTTGCAAAAAATGCAGTTTATGCTCTTTAGTAAGATTTATAATCCATAGATGCAATGTTATTTTAATGCCCATTAGAACGCCCTCACTGAAATGTTCACTATAGTATCCGAAATATAGTTTTTTACCATAAAAACTAAACAAATGTTAAGACTCTTTAAAATTAAGTGTCTAACATTTGTGCACTTTGAAAACAGGCTGCTTTCATAGACATTGAGTTATTTAATTTAGAAAAAACTTCAAAGAAATTACTTAAACCTTTTATTTCTTTTCACATATTTAAGGTAAAGTTTTTTTGAGACACAATTTTCTAAGTGGTTGTCTTCTATGGTCAAACGGTTATCAAAATTAAATAGTGTATCAAAATTAAGTTCAAAGAACATTAATAATCAAAAGTGTATATGCACCCTTATGTAAATATCAATATGAAGTACAGATTGCAATCATAAGATTAAAAGAATTTTTTAAGAGTACAAAAATTTTATCATCCATACTTTTCTTGCTTGAAAACTTAATTCTCTTTGTTAAATGTTGGTATTTTAGAGTTTACATTATGTTACCAAATACTATTCAGAACAAGATTCTGATAAAATCTCTTTAAATGTTTTCTGTGCATCCGCAGTAATGATTTCTTTAAATGCTCATGTCTTGCACAAGCTTAAACTAACTTTTTCAAATAATATTTTGTTCAATTTTATTGAATATTTTAGCAGTTATAGTAATAAAATATAAAGTGAAAAATAATAATTTTTTGAAAAAAATGTCCTGCTACTTTTACAAAATATTGTGTAGTTATTGCATATTATAACCAACCTAATTTAAGTTACAAGCTTATTGCTAAATTTTTCAGAAGTGTTTTCCTAATTTTGTCTCTTCATCTACCTAAGGATGCTCTGTTTTATTTCAATTATATTTCAAATAACGTTTAGTGTCTATTCTCTTCCTCTTTTACGCATTTTGCTTGAATATTTTTACACGTTTTTGTGCTATTGATCTTTCTCAGGTATTTTAAAATTAAAATTTATCTTTTCTGTTTTACATGCCAGAGTTTATGCTCATAATATTTATTTGTATACGTTTAAAATAATTCTCAAATTTTTTTGCAGTGAAAGGGAAGCACTCATCAGAAATATTTTTCGTGTGCGATTCTAACGCTGGGCTTGGAACACCAGTTTTACATAAGGTAAGAAAAGTTATGTTAGGTACGGGGCCATTCTAATATTGTATAAGCATATTTTTGTAAACTTTTGACTACCTTCCATTCCTTGTCAACAAAAATGAGCAATTCACAAACCTTTCTCCTATACTTACATAAGAAAGTTGCAACTTCTCCTTGTTTTTTTTGCTTTACCTTTACTTTGACATTCATTGTAGCAAACTAGTTTTTAGATTTAATTCAAATAAAAAGAGGTAACTTTGAATGAAACAAATTTTACATTTTAATTTATTGTATAAAATTTTTAGTAGAATTTCTTCGGAAAAAATCTTCATTACTTTTTCTTAACTTTGAACTTATGAAATTCTAAAATTTTTTGAAACCCAATCCAGAAGACAAGGAAACTCCTGTATCAGGTGCTGAGGGAAATTTGCCTTTGTAACGGACTTTTTGATGGAACTAACCTGCATTTGCTTTACATAGAGATGAAAATCTCGATAACCTCCCATGGTTGGCCTGACAGCAAGGGGACTCTAACCCATGATCCGTCTGCCACTGAGGATATTTTACATCAGCTCCGTGGTGGGCGGAAGCCGGATGCGAAAGTCATATCGACCGCTTTCGCTGGGATTCCAACCCGGTTCACCTCATTGGAAAGCGAATGCTCTATGCCCTGGCTCACCACGGCTCGATAAGTTTAGTTAGTAATCATTTGTTAATAGAAGTTTTAGTTTTTTTCCTGATCAAAGCAGCTTTTGTTCAGTGGTTAAGAAATTGAGCTGCCAGCGTAAAGGATCGAGTCTGGGCTTCTGCACAGTGCTATTACCATCATGCCATTGGTTAAAAACTTATGAGACTGTACCTCTATGACCGGTTGGCTGTTGCAGAAGTGCTTTATTTTTTTAAACTCTCTACTCTTTAAACTATGTAAAACTCTAATGTAACTTCTCTAGTTCTCTGTTAGACACCTTTTTTGTAATTTAATTAAATGTAAATAATGCAAGTATCTTTGGAATTGTTGGAAGAATTCTTTTCTAAATTGGTCCAAACTCTTAAGATTGTGAAAGTTTTTTTTATTCTTCATCTATTTTGTTATGACTGTAATTTTCTTTTATTTTAATAGTTTGTTTTTGTTCAGTACAGAAAACAATAAGAATTTGTAAGTGAGTTTTAGGGTTTAGTGTGTGTTATACTATTGTCTGCAGCCTCATGTTTTGTTCTTGGTCATCTGAGGATTTTTGTCCCTTTTTTCTTGGTTAAAGTGTTTGCTCCTCTTTGAATACAACTGATGTTTTGCATGATTGGAGCCAGATAGAGCCCATCATTATCTTCTATTGAATAACGTGTTTTTGCACCACGATTTCATCTAAGTTGGGTGCCCTTTAGAGCAAGAGAACAAGTTAGGTCCAAAACTTATTAAGTGTAGAAACGTTTTGACTGTTTAAACATTCTAAATATCTACTTGGTAGTTTTTTTTTTTTTAAAGAAGTGAAATCTTGATTTACTTTTTATTAGGGTTGATAAAATGTTGTTTCTTTATTTCTTCAATACTTTTTATTGTGTAAATATTTAATAAAGCTTCTTTTGATTTTAGCGTTATACATGCCTGGCTGTTTTCATGTGGAAGACATCATTGGTTTGTCAAAATACTCAGCAACAGTGCTCTTTTGAAATATCAAACAAGCATTATGATTTCAATTTGCTTTCAAGTTTGTCTCATAATTGGAATGCTATGGATGCCCAGAATGTCAGGTAAAAAAACTATGAGGGGTGTTTTGCTATCACTGCTTTAAATATATATTTTTTCAATCCTTATCAAAATTAAAAATAAAATATGGTATGTTTTAGTTAGCCTTGCATAAATAATTCTAACTCATTATTATTAAGAAATTTTTTTTTCTCATTTATTTATTTGTTCTTTGATCACGAAATAAAGTTAGCACTCAGTTGAGAGATAAGAATAAGAGATAAGAATAAATAGTTGAATTTATTTGCACAAATGTAATTGAAAATTACCATGAAAAGTTTAAACCTTTTATATCATGCAATTATATTAAAGCTTTAAAAAAAGAAAGACATCTAAGTCACTATTGGAGAAGGCAAGTGTACAGAATATCAAACCCTGTTAGATTGCCTGGTAATTAAAAGGTATTTCTAAGAATAGTCTAATAACTCCTTTTTATTTCCCTGAGAATTGAATATTGCCCTTTCTTTACTAGGATTTGTTAAAATTGGATAAGTTTTTTCATTCTTCACTTAAATATTAGAGCAGTGATTCTCAAGCTTTTTTTTTTTGATGTGGCACATTTTTAACGATTTTGAAATTTGACACCACACAATGAAAAAAATTAGATTAAAAGTTGTTTAATTACCTATTTTACACTGCGTTAAATAGTTTGTGATAATAATTTTGAATGTGAAATAAAATATGTACTACAAAAGCACATTTATTAAGGGATTAATTATTTCTTTCTACCAATTTTTAATTAGTTAGTAACAGTTATTTATTTTTTTGCTAGTTATTAATTGTTAGCTTGTTTTCTATAGTTATTAACTGTTAGTTTTTTCTACATTAACTGTTATTTTTTTTGGGATTTCTTGTTAACTAGTTTTTTTGCTAATTAATTTTTGTTAGTTATCCTCTGTTAATTTGTTTTTTATATGTTTGTTCTTTTAGTTATCCTTTGTTTATTTGTTTATTAATTGCATAGCTTACTTTAATGATTAGCTCTTACAAAATTTTTTAGGCACGCAAAAGTGCCGCAGCACAGTAGTTGAGAATCACTGTATTAGAGTATTAATTTGCGATCCCAAATGTTTTTTTTTTTTTTTTTTACATGTTAAGAACAGTCACTGTGGAACACCAGGTGTATTCTGTGTATGCAATAATGTTGTAATTAATCTTATTTGTTGTATTAGAAATATTAGTTTTTAATTTTATAGAAGTATCTAGGTCTCATGCAATGGCAATAAGCTGATTTAATCATTACCATATTCCCGGAAACATTCGAGTGAAAGTGAAGCTTTCATTTGTTGCGACAAATTTGTTTTTTGACCAAATTTAAATGAAAGCAGGACAATGACTTTTTATTTCTAAGAGATAGTTTTAGTAGTCAGTCTAAAAATATAAATTAATTTCGACTAGCAGATTAATTTTATCATATATTAACATAATTAAATTCAAGTGTAATTTATTCCATAAAAACATACTTTGATAGTTTGATCCTATTAACCAAAAGTCCTGGAAATTTAACTAATCTTTATCTATTTTGCACCACTTAAGTGCACTAATGTTATTAAAAATTTTATTTATTAGCTATTGGATAAACATCTGCCGTGGAGTTCAAAGAACAAATACTACCATTGGCTGCTCGCCAACTGCTGCTGTTTGCATGGAAAACCGAGCTGGCTCTCATATCTCTCTTGGAACAATTCAAACAATGGAAGTAAAATCAATAAGTAAGTTATATATCTGTGTGTTATTTAAATAAAAAATAGCTTGAAATTTTAATGAAACTTATTTTAACAGGAGTCAAAGTCCTCTTATAAATCCCATGTATTTTAAAAGTCTTAAAAAAACATTCTATACTGTTCTATATTACCAAAATTTCCTATAAATCCTTTTTTTTTCTTTTTCCTCTCTGAACAGCAATATCATTTCACTAAATTTTTAGATTTTATATCCTGTAATGCTTAAAGAGTATGTAAAAATCTACATTTCTTATCTTAAGATAGTTTACAAATATGTTGCCTTAAATTATAATTAGTGCTTTTGGTGATGAAGTTGCAGCAGAGGAGTGGAATTAAACAACAATGACATACTAGAATTACAGTGACACACTAGACGAATGGAAGTACTCTGAAAATTTCTAAAATCCATTGATTATTTTTGGGACCCAGTTTTTGAATTGAAAGATGATCAGGATCTTATCTGAAATGGGTTTTTTTTTTTTCCAAAGCATATGTGACTTTTTCCTGTAGCATCAGTTTCGTGAGGTTTTTCTGGTGGTATAAGAATTGTGACATCTGAAAGACCAATTATAGGCCTTGATACCCTCAATAGCAGGAGTCAAAGTGCTACTAAAGAAAAGGTTACAAATGTATGGCATTACTTAAAAATTTTATCACTTTTATAAGGACCCATACGTTAAATGCTAAGCTCCAAAAAACGTCAGAACAAAAAGAAAATATGTAACTGCAAGCAAAAGAAAATATATTATAAGCAAAATTTGAGAAATTTTCTGATCTGGAAAAGAGAGTATCAAGTGCCCGGTCAATTAATGATGAGTGCAATTAATGACTTAAACAAATTCTTTAATTATATGTTCCTATCTTGGCTTCACTAAACAATATACAATTATCAGAACTTGCACTTTATATACAGTGTTTTCTTTACAGAAAAAAAAATGAGAGAGAATTTCTCACCCTTTCTTAGAAACAGGGTGAGATCTCAAAAAGTTAAGTGAGATTTCTAAAAATTAAAAAAAAACGCGAATAGACTTGGAAAAAAAATATTTCTTTAATTGTGATACATTTTTAACATCTTCTAATTTTTAAAGCATTGAATATTTTTGCTGCATCATCATATGGAAAACGTTCTATATCTACTTCTTCATCAGCTATTCTCATTAGGTTGCTCAAATGTTTATCAGTCATTTGTATAAGATATTTTGTCCTAATTCGGTTTTGAGTGCTAAATGACCTTGGAACAGATGCTGAACAATTCGGAATCGCTAAGTAAATTTGTGGCATTAAAAAAAAATGTATACGTCTTACATGAAGAAATCTCACCTTCCAAGAATGATGTGTTCTGAAAGGTGTTCTGTCATTCGGGGGGGGGGGCATTGTGTTCTGCTGTTCCCACCAGTTTTGAACAATACTGGTAAATAGGGAAGCTAGATAACAGGGACAGATGTTGAAAATAATGAAAGATCAAGGAAGAAAAGTGAAACTGATTTTATTCAAAATGACAGAAGACGAATTTTTTTCCAAAATTCGCGCATTTAGAAATTGATTAATAGAGGGCGCGATCTTCTCGCGTTGATAATTTTTTAATGCGAGAAAGGAAAAAAATAAGCGAGATTCTCGCGCTGTAGTGAAAACACTGATATAATTATATCTCTTGCCAAAATCCATTAAATTGCATATAAGTAGTTTTATGACAATTCAATAATGGTCTTTGTAATAGAAATTTTCTTAATCTAGATTCCACTGACTTACTGCTCACTTTCAAGTCAGGAGACAGTAGAGCATGCTCTAAAATTTCCTCATCAACTGAAATGACACCAACTTCTAGAATTTTTATGCGCTGTGGAAATCGCTTAGGAAAACCAAAAATGTCAAATGGTCCAGATAATGAATGTTACTACAACTTTCTCTGGGAATCTAGTTTAGCTTGTGCTGATAAAGCGTAAGTTTAAAAATTTTATTTCTGAAAGTTTTTTACAAAAATAATTTATATTTATTTTAATTATTTCATAGATATGTTTCCTCCGTCAATCACATTATTTCCACGTTTCTCCTGCTTTCTTTATTATATATATATATATTTGTTTATTATATATTTTTGTTTATGTATTTTAACGTATAATTTTTTAAACTAGTAACGGCGATGTTACTCGGGATGTAATCACCCATTGTTTATACCAAATGGAATGTGTATAATTTTTGAGAATCCAAACTAATTTCAACTATTGCCAATTCAGATTGGCAGAAACCCTGATTGTAATTGGTTTTTTACCAATTGTGTAATATAACAAATCAGTGAGACTTCNAATTAATATAAAATCGAATGTAATAAATATTTCGGACAATCACCAAAGCATATCTGTGATTGTCGACATACACCGGTGAGGGTCTGACTGTACAAGAATGTAATGAAATATTCGATCTTTCACCGACGTATTTGGTGTTTGTCGACATTCACCGGTGAAAGTCAACAACCACCGATTTCGGTCTTTCGCAGTGACATATATATATATATATATTTGTTTATGTACTATAACGTATAATTTTTTAAACTATTAATGGCGATGTTACTCGAGATGTTATCACCTATTGTTTATACCCAATGGAATGTGTATAATTTTTGAGAATCCAAACTAATTTGAATTATTGCCAATTCAGATTGGCAGAAACCTTGATTGTAATTGGTTTTTGACCATATTTTTTTACCAATTGTGTAATATAACAAATCAGTGAGACTTCAAGAGAGTATTTTCCTTTCCGTCTATACCTTTTCTGAATTATCATTGAGGATGCTATTAAAAATAAACAAAACTTAATCTAATAGTCATGAATTATTTTTCAAAGTCCACAAGATCTATAACATCTTCGTTCAAAACAGTTATTTGGGTTGAGGATAGAGTCTTCGAAAAACTGCCTTAAACTTGATAAAGGAAAGTAATAGAAAAAAAACTAGATAGATAGAACTAATAGCAAAGACCTTAGCATTCATTTTAGTAACTTTTGATATTTTGTACTTTTTTTATTTTATACCAGAAAAGAATTAGTTTCTCAAATAGTTGTTTTTATTTTTGAGTAAATATTTTTTGTTCTGTTTAGAGAGCAAGTGATCTTGGAAGAAAATGGTATTCTTCGTGATGCCAGATTTGGATTTATTCTGGACATCAAAAGTATATTGAACCAGTCAGTACCTTTCTATTTTTTTATATATTTATGATTCTACTAAACTATTTAGTATATAGAAATTGTTTTGTTTATTTAGTATTTATGTTTGTGCATGCAGTCAAATTGCTCGTTAATTATGTATTCCTACAGAAAAGACAATCTATAATTAAATTTTTGTTAATTTTTGCTTTATATGATTGAAAGTTTTTTTTACTATAAATCTATTTAATAAGTATAGTTCATTAACTCTTATGCCTGCTGTATCATGATTAATGAATAAACAATTAGGAAATATAGTTTTTGAATTTTTAATTCATAAATATGTTCTTTAAGCTGTAATATTCAAACTGTTCTATAAGATGTATTATTTCAATATATTATTGAAGTGTTATCAGTTGATTTTTTTAGAGCTGTTTGTGAGCATAATAAAGTGTATACTATTATTGCACTTAGTATATTTGTTTAATTCTGGTTAAGCAAAAATTTGTGCTCTTTATTTAGTTTAGTGAAAATCGGCAAATTGCAATTTTTTCATCTAGTTTTATAAAAATTGTATGAAAATAAAAGTATTCACTATTACCTTAAATCTTATTAAAGAAGTTTATTTCTGATAATTTATTTTTTTATTATTTCATGCAACACTCAGTTATAAATCAATATTGATGATAATAATCATTTCTAGCAATATCAAAGAGATAAAGTTACCTTAAATTACATTCTGCTTTAATAATTTGTTTTTCCAGCTTAAAAAATAATTTAAAGTGTAAGAACATTTTGAAAATTGATTGTGTATGTATATTTATAAAATCTGCAGAACATGTGAGAAAATGTAATACAATACTATATCTATACAGTAGAGTATCGTTCATTGGGTCGCCAATCAACCACATTTATGTTTTCTATCTACTGTTTTAATTTTGAGCACCACAATTGTAGGGGTGATTGTATTCTGAATGTACCCCAGAGTTCCGGATTTTGTGTATCATCTTTCTATAAATTAAAAGAGCAAGGCATGTGATTTTTTGCGGAATTCCGCCTATCTCAAAGATCATTGATTTGCGTAAGTTCGCAATTCAAACTTATAATCCGACGAAATTTTCACTGCAATCTAAATGCAAATTTTTAAACCTTCACTAAATTGTGTTAACGAGATGCTTTCATCCACATGACTCTTCTGTGATTTTAATTTTTTAATCAGATTTTATTGTTTTTAACATTTGAAACTGTGCTGGAATCCGCTAATATCACGAATCATATTCACACGATTTCAATATCAAACATCAATTTTTGTATTTATCTGATTTAAAAATCCTATATCGCAATTTGTATTTTCGCATTTTAGAAACCAATATTGCAAATTGTATTTACTCGAATTCAAAATCTAATGTCCCTATTCCTATTCGCAGGATCTGAAAGTCATGTATCGTGATTCAAATAACCAATGTCGCGATTCAGATTCACACGATTTTAAAACCCAATATTGCGTTTTTTATTTTCACACTCTCAAAATACAATATCGTGATTCCTGTAAGAATTACATTTTTTTCTTAGATTAGTTACTATGGAAGTAAGATATTCTTTATCGATAGGTAATTTAACTATAAATTGATATCTTGTTATTGAGTTTTTGCTCATAAAATTTTCTGGATTATTTACTTCGTGTCACAATCATCCCTGCAATTGTATGATTAAATATTAAAATTAGTCCGGATCTTAACTAATACCCAATGTAACAAACTGGTTGCCCAATTACAATGCACAATTTTTTTTTAAAGTGAAAATAACTTATGCTACTTTTTTATTGTAAATGTTAAAAAGTCGTAATTCATTATAAAAAATTAATATAATATCAATTTCATATGTAAGAATTTTAAGTCAAATTTTAAAGTTTATATTGTTAACTGCATATGAGAATTGGTTTTTAAACATTTAATAATTCAGTAACATTAGAGTTAAGCATGCCTATTCATTGGTTTTTATTCTTTTAATTTCTTTATTTTTTAGAAAATTTTCGACAAACGGTACATCAAATACAGATCAGTATGTTTATATAATTAATTTGAGTGGTGTCTACCAAAATTCTACATATTCTGACAACCCATGCGCAAATGCTGCTATTTGTCAAACAAAGCATGGATCAGATTTCCATAGGGATATTGGAAGCATTGACAGCAGAACTTTTATAATTAGAGGTATTAAATTGTTTTTGCTATTTATTAATAAGCAATTTTTTTAAGCATCTTTTTTCAAAAATATTATATAGATAAGTTGGAATTCAAGTTTTGCGTTGCATAGTAATTTTTGTTATTAATTTTGTGCATAATTATATGTTATTATTATTTTGCCATAGTAGAGCAGTAGTTCCCAAAAAGAGAGAGAGATTATTTTTCACTATAACCTGTCTCTTTTTTAGAGCTTGTAATTATATTTATATCATTCAAAAATTCATTATTTTATAATTATTTCAGAAAAAAATTTTTTTTTTAAAAACCCTACAATTAATTGAATAAATTACAAAAAAGATATGCATTTATAAAAAATTGTATTAGTTTTTCTGATGAAACTTTTCAATTCAAAATAAAATAACCCACTTCAAGAATAAAAAAAGTCTGATAATTTTTTTTCCCCACAAACTATCAATTTATTTAATTCATTTTCAGTTGCATTGCTATTACCAGTGAATTCAATTGTGTGATATAAAACATAATTTTAAAACTTTTAATTGCTTAACCAATTAAAAATTAGTGTCAAGGTTTCGCTAATCGAGGCTGGATCATATATGGTTCCATAGTATTTTTTAAAAAAATGGAACCTCTGTAATAAAGAACATTCATTAATATGTATGTAACAAATATTCGATCTTTCATTTATTATTTGGCCCTTCTACCAAATATTCGGCAAAGTATTATTTCGGGGGGAAAATTTCAATAGATTTTTTTGGGGGGAAATTTCAATATATTTGAAAAATAATAAATCTGGAATCGTATTTTTTACTATAAATTAGAAATAGTTTTTAGACATATTTGTTAAGTAACTTGTTAATTTATGTTTGGAAGGACACATAAAAGAGCGAAATTTGACGAATTGAAATAAGAATACTTTTTACTGAACCCTAAGTTTTGTAATTCTGATTTTTTTTGTTTTTTGTCATATTTAGGCAAGTCAATTTCTTCATTTTTTCTACACTTAATGTTGTAATGATTGAAAACTTATTTTTTGCTTCTATTTTGACTAAAGCAAAGCATATTAAAGAGAGTTTCTGATAGACTTAATTGTTTTACTGACTCTTTTTTTTCTTTCTTTTTCTTCTGCAGAATGACAAATAACTAGTAACATAGAAAACTGAGATTCTTAAAATTAAAGTTACATTTCAGAACTAAGAACAATATTTTTTCTGTTTTTCTTTTGGTTTTTTTATTATTAGTTTTCCTTTTTATCAGCATTTTTATTATAACAGCATTTTTAAAGAGCGTTTTTGATGAACATTACTATTTTATGTTCACTTTTTTGTGAAAATTCGGCAATGAGAGAAATCTAAATTTTGAATTTATCATTAAATCTCTTGCTTAAAAATTGAAGGACTATATATATATGGATTATCCTATCTAGATTTTTCTTTTTCAAACGTTTTTATGAACGTTTCTACTAGACTTTAGTCTTCAATTTTTCTTGAAAATTAATTTTCAAAATTGTATAATGTTTTCTGGATATCTTTTTTTTCTTTTGGAAAATATTATTCTTAGAATTTGTTTTGTTTTTTGAATTAGGAGGATTTTTTTTCAACTTTACAGCTTTATTTTTTTTTTATCTTTAATATTTCTAATTACTTTTTTGTCTTAAATATTTCTATTAAAGATCTTTTTCCTTTACCCCATACCAATAATACAGCTACATGTTGATTATTTTTCAATAATACCTATATTTGGTATTTGAACAAATCACAATTTGTTACATCCCTATAATAGAGTATGTTTTGCCTGTGGCCTTTTACTATTGTTACATTTTTCAGAGAATGCTGAGAAACTCACAAAAGGAAAAAGCAATCAGAAAGGCAAAAGAAAAAAAACTAGTCATGAATTATATTGTTGATAAGAGTTACGGAATTTTTTTTCCATTATTTCCAAACTAAGTGGAATATTCATGTACATTTTAATAAAAAAAAATTTTAAAATAAATAGTATTTTATGAGGACAACTTATGAAATTGACATTTTTAAAAACTTACTATTAAAAAAATCAAAATCCTGAGTACTGTAACAAGCAAAAAGTACTCGAAAGAGTGACTTACATCAAAGTATAATCAGTGTCTGAAATATTGTTTACAGGTGTCCACAGAACAGGGAAAAGACAGATTTTAATGATCTGGAAATTTCAAGGAATTTAATTAAAATACCCAAAAAGTCCCTGAAAACGAGATATCCATTTTAGTTATTTATTTATTTATTTTTTTTTCAAAAAAAAAAATGAATTGGCCTTATCTAAAAAATTTTATCTTCATCTTTAAAAGCAAGTATAAGTGTTTTGTAATACATTCTATCTCTTTGAATAGCCATGACTAAAAATTCAGTAAAAATAAATGCATGCCACCGGTTACATAAATCTGGGAAATATGACACACAAAAGCAGTCAGAGAATTTTCTGTTGGGACAGTTTGTGCTCAAGTCTCCATGATAGTTATTGTAGTCCGTTTATATATCTATCTTTCAAGTACTTCTATAAAACTGGAAACTTTTTGAGTAAACTTAATATTTTTGCTCATTTAAATAATGTTTGTACACTCTGTAGGCAATGAATTGCATCTTCAATTCACATCTCATACAAGACCATGTGGAAAGAATCATTTAAAAAATGTGACTACAATCATCAATATGCAGTGTTCTTCATATGCTGGACAAGTATGTTATTTAGTTTTTTATGCATTTATGAATGCACTTATGCAGATGCAAGGATGTAATATAATGCTCGTAATGCTTATTTTTTTTTTTTTTTTGNTTTTTTTTTTTTTTTTTTTTTTTTTTTTCTTTTTTTTTTTTTTTTTTTTTTTTTTTTTTTTGTAATGGAATAATTTGGTGTCCCCTGGTACATAACTGATTTTTTGCTATGATTTTTTAGGTGCTTTTGACACCTAGCGTGTAAGCAAAGTTTTTTAACTCGCACCAGAAGCTAACAGTCTTTTACCAAGCAATTAGTTTATTGCAAAACATGACTGTCTTTTTTACATAATTAATTCAGTTTTTATATTGAATTGAAATTGTACCAATAATATTTTTTTAGTTGGAATAACTTTTATTTATTTGCTCAATTTCTTTATTTTTTAAAGTTGCTTAATTGGATGGTGAAAATTTCACCCATGAAGGAAGGAATTCAGCTTCTGCGATAGCGCTTCCTATTTTCACATGACTTCCAGTTTGCCGGCGCCAAAGCAAACATTAAAAGAAAGTTGCGCGTGTAAAACAGAAATAGCAGTGGATTTGCCGTGAAAATATTTAATTGCTCATTCGATTTATCTCGTCGGCTTTTACCATTATTATGGCTGACCAAAAACAATACAAACAAGCATTTAAGTAAACTTATTCTCTTGAATTTCAATTTATTTCAAGATGCAATCTTGAAGTATATGATATACATTGCAACATGTGCAAAAATGACTTCAGCATCGCACATGGTGGTAAGACTTATATAGTCAGACACATTAAAATCAACAAAACCCTAGAAGTACAAAGAATGTTTTGATTCAAGAAAGAATATAGTTTCTTTTTTCAAATGAGTATTAATGAGGAAGCCATTAAAAAATAAACAAATGCTGGATGTCTCTTTGCAGCATTTTTAGTAGAGCATAATTTACCAATCTGTGCAGCCAATCATGCTTTGAACTTTTTAAAAAGATATTTCCCGATTCTAATGAATCAAAGAATTTTATTTTGTATTTTATAACCGTCATTGAACAGGCGACCCAATTTTTGGGTTTATGACTACTAATGTTCAACTATGTTACCTTGTAATTTTGAAACTAATCATAAAGACAAGAGAACTCCTGGATCAAGTATTGGGAGAAATTTGCCTTCATTTAGGATTTTTTGTATGGAACTAACCTGCATTTGCATTACATGGAGAGGAAGATCATGAGAACCTCCCACATCTAATGTAATGATCAGTGTCAAAAATGGTGAACAAAAAGGTTTGAATGATGTGCAAAATGAATTATTATTGGATGCCTTTGTCATCTTCTATTTTAGGTGCATAAAATTCTTTTTTAGTTATGAATTTCTCTTTTGACAGGCAATAATTGATATATTTTACTATCTGGAATTTAGTTCTTAGAGAAAAGAAAAATTTATTATTTCAACAAAAGAAGAAAAACTGGTTAAGTGGCAAATAAAAATGATTTTGTAAGATAGGGGTGCACAGCCTGCAGCCCGCGGGCCAAATGCGGCCCATCGACTGTCGATGTGTGGCCCTCGGGAACTTCTGAACGCAAACAAAAAAAATACTTTTAGNTTAGGTGCATAAAATTCTTTTTTAGTTATGAATTTCTCTTTTGACAGGCAATAATTGATATATTTTACTATCTGGAATTTAGTTCTTAGAGAAAAGAAAAATTTATTATTTCAACAAAAAAAAGAAAGAAGAAAAACTGGTAAAGTGGCAAATAAAAATGATTTTGTAAAATAGGGGTGCACAGCCTGCAGCCCGCGGGCCAAATGCGGCCCATCAACTGTCGATGTGTGGTCCTCGGGAACTTCTGAACGCAAACAAAAAAATACTTTTAGTTTGTTTTTTGTTTAAACAATATAAATTTTTTTTAAATTAAAATAATTAATTCAAATTTATATTACTCTAAAATCCCTATATTTTTTGCACTTTCATTCTGTATGCTTTTTTTTGGTTAGAATTTATATCCCCCCTAATATTTATTTATATCAATATATTTTTGATAAATTAATTATTGTGAAAAATTTCAAAAGTTTTTTCGCTAACATGACTAAATATGCTTGCGGCCCTTCATTAATCTACCTGCTGTGCAAGTGGCCCTTCACTCAAAAAGGTTGTGCACCCCTATTGTAAAAAGAGAAATTTTTTTTTATCTTCAAATATTAATAAGATATTTTGCTCGTTTCTGTTATTTACAACACAAGACCTCAAAAGAGTAAATGTGTGGTTAAAAAAAAATCAGGACCCAGTTCCGCTCATCCATGTCTGATAAGTCACTAGAAAAATCATTAATAATTAAGTCTGAAGAAATAGCTATTGCTGTGAAAGATACTTTTTAAAAGAATTTTTGATAAATGCAAAACGTGTTACTAAAGCATCTTTGCAAAATTAATTCTAATAAGTTCATATATAATATTGCATACTATATATTAAATGTTATGTTGAAATTAAACTAAATACTGTTTTCATGAGACTTGAAATATTATAAGTTTCCATGTAATGAAGAATTAATGAATGAACATAATTGTGCCATCAAGTAGCTAGTAAAAAAATCTTTCTTTTCTTGCTTTAAAGAAAGGTGAGTTAATTCTTTTTTTTATGTTCATTATATTATAGTTGATTTTTGGATAATTGAAATCTGCTTTTTTTTACGAATTTGTTATCATGGAATCGAAATCTTCTTTTTTTTTTCTGTATCTTCTGCATTTTTTTTTTTTGATAATTAGATGTTGGCAGCCATGAAATTTCTATACTTTAGTTTTCTTATTTCTTTTGAATTTTCTTATTTTTGCTTTTGTATTTTTCTTTTATATATATCTTTTAATTTTAAATATTTATTTACAGGGTAATCCCACTTTCTTGTATGAATCTGGTAATTGTGATTATATTTTTGAATGGCAAACAGATGCTGCCTGTCCTAAATTTGAAAAGTAATATTTTGGTTTTCTTTCATTTGTTTTATTTATTACAGATTAATTTTCTTTTTAATTACATTCTGAAATGTTCAATGGTTTCTTTTTACTCTTAATATTTTTTAATTAAGATTTTTACTTAAAGTTTTTTGATGAATGATTGATTTTAACTTTTATTTACATATGAAATTTTTTTGGAAAAAGTAAATCAACAAATTAATTTCGAAATCGTTATATATTTGTCTTAGTAGGGTTAACTTTTATTTTTGTTAAAAGTTATGTTCAATTTGCGTAATCTGATTTCTTACCTTCTTATAGAGATGAACCTGATAATAAAGGTGGAGATCCCTCTAAAATGATTTATCCCAGTCCTAATTATCCATACCAGGAACCAATTCCACAATCTAGTCATGTTGCAGAGATAACAGTTGGTGTGTTATTTGCCATTCTGGTGTTGATGGTTGTCGTCTTTTTTGTTGTGAAACCAGAAAGGAGGTTAGTCATATTGTATTTCCATAATTACTACTTACTCATTAGAACCATCTTGATTCTTAATTCCATCTTCAGAAGTAATTAACAATTAAACCTTTTTTAAACATTGATCATTTAATCATTTGCTTTTCATTAAAATGCATTAATCTTGCCACATAGCTACCACTACAATTCTTCAATTTCGATTCACTAGTGTATAAGACATGTTAACTCGACCATGTTAACTTAGATAAATAAGCATTTACATTGTCGGTAACCTATCTCCACATTGGTAATTTTCGAATGTAATCTGAACACGACTACCTCAACAGAAACGCCCACTTCGGTGTGAGCTCACATACTTTGATGGATGGAACTTTGTGAACAGTTGACTTGCTAATTGTGACTGAGACATTGCCCTCCTCACTCTCAATCTCACACAACGGGTGCCTGTACACACTCTACTGCTAATAGCTACATAGGAGAGACCACAGACACAACCGTGATCTTAATACAGCTTTCATCACCAGCACTCAAAAACCAGTTATCTTAATACATCTCTCCTGGCATCTCACAAAACAGCAATGAATCAACTAGTGACATCTCAGATAAAATTCTGGTGGGAGAGTATTGCAGCGTTCCTACCGCTGCAATTCTTCAATTCCAATTCACTAGTGTATAAGATATGTTAACTCAACCCTATCAGGCGGTACCTTTAGATAGATGACGATTGTCATTGCTGGTAACCTAGCCCCATAACCTCTTCAGGGAAAAACTTTCTGTTTAACCTCCATTGGTAATATTTAAAGTTTAGGTCAACTTGGAAAAAAATGCTTTCAAAATATGAAAATGGAAACAATTTATTGCAATGGATTAATTTTAAATAATCCTGCCATGATTTGCTTTAATATTGACTAAATTTTTTCAATGCTAAAAAACTTCATGGTTTACTCTAGGTTTGCTTAAACTCACTTTTCTCTAAATTTTAAAATACCAATGGAGGAAAAACAGGATGTTTTGTGAAAAATTTCTCTCATGTGTCCTCCTAGTTAAATGTAACAACAATTAAACATGAAATAAGCAAACAAATATTACTCAGTTTGTTTTAGTGGTTCTTGTTTTGAGTTTTCGAAACTTGTTTGCTTTCCTACCTTAATTTCTGAAACTAATTAAGATTCTCTATGTACAAAGAACCTAAAAAATTTTTTATTGTGTTTAGATTTATTGAAATTTGTTGCAATTTTCAATAGTTTTTAAAGTATTCAGTTTTCACTGTATTAACATAGTTTTCAAGACATTTGAAAAATAATTTTGTATTCTTCAATTAATAAATATTACTTAGTTACAACAAAATGTAGTATTGCTTAGAGGAATTTTGTAAAGCTGATCACATTTAAAATTGTTTTATGCTATTATAATTTGATATTATAAACAATTCCATTCTTTGTTTTAAAAGAAGAATAAAAAGAATTATAGATAATATTAAAAATATGATTTAAATGTCTCGTAAGCATATCCTTTTTTCTATCATGAATAAACTTATAAATTTTTAACATTTTTGGTACAAGCAAGTATATAAATAAGGAATTTGATTGTGTATGATTAAAATAAATTTCATGCAGAAATAATAATTCTTAAATTGAGAATTTCTTTTAAAGTTAATATTAAATGTAATGTGAATGCATCTCAAAAGAAACATGAAGAATTCAAGTAGTCTGTTTATTATTTTTTAAATCAAAAGTCTTTTAATTACAATTAATAATAATTAAAACTTTGTCTTATTCACAACTTGTAACTTTTTAAAAATAAAAAAAAATTGATTGTTAATAATATGATCATTTTTTTCTTCTTACAATGAAGCATATAAAATACAAACTTTTAAGTAGATAATTCCATCAATGTAGAAAATAATAAATCATTTAGAAAATTGCAAGTTCTATTGAAAAGAACAAGCCGATATTTCACAGAATTCTGCGTTAAAGGTTGTTGATTCAGAGACTTGTGTGAATTAAAAATTTTTGCGACTAAATTTTCTCAAAATAACTTTGGCAAATTCTTTTGACCTGACATTTATTGCTCCTTACCAGCAAAACCCCTTTTCTCCTAATTGAGTTCATGTTCATGAGTGATAGCAATATTTTTTTTTAAGCAACTTAGATATATTTAATATAATATTTTTTATTACAATAGGGGAATCTCTATACATGAATTTAAGTAACTCCTTTTATTAGACATAAAACTTTTTTTCTTTCTCCAATTAAATTTTATTTTTGTGTTTAATTTGAAAATGAAACATAAACTGTTTTAAAAATTTCAGATAATTCTTTTTCCAGCAATCGCATGTCTGAAAGAAAATTGTTGTAATCTACATAAGTTTTACTGGATATTTTTGTTTTACTGGATATTTTTTATTTACTTAACTTTGATTGTACTTTTAAGCTTCTTGTATATTGTAATGTATTTTACTATTTCATTAATGAAAAGTTATTTTGAAGTGGTATTTATTAAGACTTTTTTTCTCCCTCAGGTCCCGTGTCTACCACAGAGTTAGAGGCCTTTTTGGTGGTGTTAAGTTACCATATTTCCGTTACAAAAGGGTAAGATTTATTTTACACATTTATTTAAAGTTTTAAAAAAGGAGCGTTAATCAAATCAGTAGTAAAACTTATGTTTTCTTAGTTGAACAAAAGTTGTTTCTCATTCTTTTATTTCTTTTAGTAAGTATTTCCTAGCATATGATATATGCACTAAGCAATAGATACAGTGATGGTTATAAAACAAAAGCTTAATGAATAAAAAATAAAATCTTTATTTAACTGGCTATTAACAGCAGCCTATTGGTCAATTTTTTCATCGTGTATTTTTATGCAATATTTTACATTATAACATAAAAATTGACATATTTAAAAACGATAGATGAATATTAATTTTTCTAAAGTGTTAAAATTAAATTTATTTTACTTTCTGGGGAACACTTTATGTAATTTGTTAATGAGTAGTGTATTTTATAAAAATAGAAGGGATTTACTTTGTGAGAATGTTAACCAAATGTTTACTTATTCTTCAGATGCATTATTTGCATATTGCAAATAATGTTTTGTATTGTCAGCTGCTAATTTAGAATTTATTTTATTTTCAAACAGTTTACAACTTGTTTAATTTCATCAATAGAATTTATAAAGGTCTTTTTTTTATTTTCAGAAATCGCAAGTAAGTTTTCCGTTTTATAAATTTCAAACATAGTTTTGTTATTCTCATTAATTTAATTAAATACACAGTAGTTTATGATTATAAAACAGAATTTAAGTCATTTATGTTGTCATTTTTCATAATTTTTAATGTAAATTTTTTGTCAGGTGGAGAATAAATTTTACAAGTTAAAATTTTTTAAAATCATAATCTTTCTTTTTTGTTGTTGGGTACATAAAAAGTTTTTTTTTCTAATTGAAACACTTTATTGTACATATTATATTTTTTTTTTTGAAGCATTAAAAGAAAAAAACATGGTTTATCTAAAGATGGTAGAGTGCAACATCAGAAAGGGAACTAAATCTATTTTATCGATTAATATCGTTATTGTAGTATAATTGAATTAATTACTGCATATTTATTTTCCCTGGAAACACCCTTATTGGACGAAGTGTATTTATTACTTAATATAATTTAAAAAATTAGACCCTATGTTAAATCTTACTCATATATTAATTCAGGATCATTTTGAATTTTAAGTTTGCATGCAGTTTGGCTTTGTAGCTGAGGTGCATGAAATGGTGTAGTATGCTTTTTCTAAGCATCTGCATTTCACATTGCAGTTTTATTTCTATGCACATACTTATGCACTTAGCTATTTTTCATTAAGCTTTATCTGGTGATGTGTATGCCTCTATATTATTTTCCACAATTAGATGAAAATCACCGATTTTCTTCGATTTGCTCAAAAACTTTCTTTTCATTTGTACGGCAAATTTACGAAAAATGTTAATTCAGGTACCTATAGATTTTTATCTAATTTGTTGATATATTAAGATATATTTTTATCGAGTAGCATTTAAAAATAAAAGAGTGTTGATGAAACACATAGACTTATATAGATACAGGACTCTCAAATAAGTCTCCATTTATCCCTGAAATTCATTTTCACCCTTTTTAGTCTGTTTTGCTATTCCCCCCTCCCACAGGTAATTTATTTTAAGGAAAATCTTTTTTTAGACTTAAAATTACTAGATAAATGAAGAAGAAAGAATCATGATTTAATAAGATCTACTTAACAAAAGAATTAAAGTCATCACATGGCTGCTTGCATAACATTATTCACGCAGAAAAGTTTCTAGATCACAGGACACAATTTTAAGCTATTATGTTTATTTTGGCTTATATTGAAACATTTAACCCCTTACCTGCTGAGTAAAATGTATGTGATTCACTCCCCAGTGCCACCGTTTTTCGCTCAAGTCCGCTTTGTTATGCGGTGTTTTGGTGTGAGAAAAAAGATGCACGCGTTGCAATTTAAAAACAGTTTACTTTCACAAGAGAAAAAAAAGGAAAAAGAGAAAATACAAAACTTAAATTAAAGAATAAAAATACAATATAAAAGATGTTAAAACTTAGCTGTTGTATGATAAATCCTGAAACCTGGTTGGACACATAAACCAACATCACATTCATTGCACTGATAGAGGGATTCTCGACGAATATACCCGGGAAACGAAAGCGAAAAAAGAATAAACCCGATCTTACTCAAATAGAAACACACAAGCAATAAATATTATGATATAACTTTTCAAATACATCCCTTTCCCATTCCCCCGAAATTTGTAATACATTCATTGCAAACACTTTCAATGACAAACATTGGCAAACACTTTCAAATTAATTTTACTGCATTCAGAAGGCGTGGGTGTAGTTCTATTTATAGCAAGTCAATGCAAAGCATCTTACTTCAGGAAAGCGTATATATATGCCTGCGGCAGTTAACGCATCGTCTGGCCGAGACGTAAATATACGCCCGCGGCAGTTAAGGGGTTAATTATATATATTTTTTTATACAAATGTTTTGCTATATTGAAATGAACTGGACAAGCACTTTCCCTTATATTTTTATCTAAAAGAAAATATTTCAGAATTATATTCCTTTTGTCTTTTTGAAAAGGATGTTACTTTTTTATTCATTTATTTTTTCAAAAATATTTTTAAATTTGTACATATTTAATTTGAAATAAAAATTCATAATTTTCATCAAAAGTCAGGATGCATAGCCTTTTTAAAAAGTGCTTAAAGGTGCTTATTTTATTCGGGGTTTGTAAAAAGTGCTTAATTTTTTTATCTTTTTAAAAAGAGATATTTTCTTTGCCTTATTGATTGTCATTTTAAATTACAAAAGCGCAAAGGTTTTCACAATTTTCTCTGCAATGTTTATCAGAAAGTAGTTATTTTATCATGATTATCTAAAGTTTTCGAAAATGTTTTTGAATTTTTATTTATTTTATGTTTATAAATTAAGAACTTTAAACGATAGAAATATTTTTTTATTATTGTACAGATCCTAATTATGATTTTTTTTTTTTTTTGGAAAGTGAACAAAAATATATTTTGAGTGCTTAAAAAGTACTTAAAAGGTGCTTATTTTTTGTTGAAAAATCTGGCTACGCACCCTGTTAAAGATTTAAAAAAAATTGCTAAAAAGCACTTAAATTTGCAATACATTAGGACCATTTTAAATTCAGATTTGTTCTTATCAGTATGTGAAATTTTAAATCTGAGATATTTCTTTTAGTGAGCGGTAGATCAGCCGACATATTTTTTTTTCATAAACTAATAATCAAATTATAATTTTATCTTATTTTATCAAAATTCTTGTGAATTTTTTTTACACACCTTTGTAATTTCCAATCCTTATTGGATTTGCATGGCAAAATAAAATGTAACTTAAAGGAAAGAGAGAGAGAAAAAAGAATTAGCATTAATGGCATTTAAAATTGTAATAACTCTCACACAAATTGAATTTAAAAAAAAAAAAAAACCTCTGTGTAAACTCATAAACAAATTAGGCCCTTTCAGCTTGCTAAGTTTTAATTTTGTAGTTGTATTCCTGTAGTCTGTAGAGCAGCCAGTGTAGTATTTTTTTCCCTGTAAATTTAAAAGTTAGTACATTATTGAATTAATTATTAGTTAACTGAATTATTAGCAATTAATTGAATGTAAATTTTTTTTATTCCATCGTAGTCCCTGTACTTTTTTCTACACATCTTAGTAATTTCAAGTTTCTGTGTCTTTTAGTTATTGTGTTGTAAACTAAAATGTAATTTTAAGTTGATCACCCTAAACAGCGATTGCTGCGCTTACATCTTTTTAATTCAGAGATATTGTACTAAGGTAGAACTTATTGCACACGTTTGTAGTTATCAGATGATCAAAAACTAAACCTTGACAAATAAGCATTTTTTATTTAATATATTGTCAATTTTTTAAAATATCTTGTGTCTAATAGAAGCTATATTAATAATTGCTATTGAAAGTTAAATTATAGAATCAACAATCGGCAAATGTCTCCATTCTTTAGCTAAGTTTCAAATTAATCATTCTACATCAGAGCTGTCAACCTAAGTTTGTTTTAGAAAATTCAAAAAATAGTAATAATAATAATTAAAAATAAAAACATGTTTTTGTTTATAGACGAACAATAAAGTTCCTTGGAACTATATATTGTAAAGTATTTGTTTTATAGAAAATTATGCATTCTTTTTTATTGTTTTGCATAAATGTTTTAATCTCCAGTCGAGTACCCATAACTGATCATATAATAAATCTGAACTTTGCTGGATACTAAGAGCCGCCTGAGTAATATATTAAACTTTTACCATGTACTGGGACTGGGTACTTCCTTAAAAAGATACTCTGTTAAAACATTCTAAAGCCCTACAAAAAATGCTAAAAATTAAAATTCATATATTAATGAAAAATGTCTAAAATAGAGTTAACTAAGGTTATCCAATTACCATTAACCATTTGAATTTTTTTTTTTTTAAGAAAGAATGAAAAAATATACTTGTTTGCATTCATGAATTAGTTATTTCTAAAGGCCTGGTTTCTTAGGACAGGACGCCGTCAGCTGGAAATCAGCGTTANCTTTTTTTTTTTTTTTTTTTTAAAAAAAAAGAATGAAAAAATGTACTTGTTTGCATTCATGAATTATTTATTTCTAAGTGAAAATGACATTTTCTGCCATTATTAAAAGTTTGAATCTTAGAAGATTAAAAATTACATTGCAATTTAATAAACTTTTTAACTCCATTTGTTTTGATCAGTTAGTTAAAGAATTAAATTTAAAATTAATCAGAGTTAGAAAGTATTTAAAACTTTTGGCTCTCTTTAATTAGTACGTTTATATTTTAAAATTTTGCGCTATGAGTTTGCAAAACGATTATAAAATTTCTTACTTTAGTTATGTAGTTTTTTAGTTATAGCAACAGTCTGCAGACTGATCATTTGAAGGTTGTGCATCATTTTTGATTATTTAAAAGCTGGTCCAATTACTGTTTTACATTTATTAGCTAAACTTACCTCCCCTATTGTTCTCATCTGCAAAACTGAAAATATTTTTATTTAGTGTATTTTGTAACTTTTTCCAGGGTGATATACTCACAGAGTTGCAATCTGACTTCTAAAATAAGGTAGATTTTTTTTTTCCATTTGTTTTGCTATTTGGTGAATGGAATGGCAAACATTCAATTAGAATTGGGCTGTAACCCTCTGCATTTGTAGGAGCATGATCATACCTGTTGCTTATTGCATGTTATCTGAATGAAACTAACTTCTTATTGAATTGTTTTCTCCTTGGCTTCCTTCTTTGCTTACTTTTTAGTTATAACGATAAATTTTACTGCTTAGTAATTTAAGTTGTGTTACTAAATTTAGCATTTATGAATTTTAACTGATTGTACTATAAAAATTTTTCCGGGTGCTTGTTTATTTTGAAATTGGTGATGCAGTTTTTTATTTTTTTAAATTGTGTTAAATATTAACTGTGTTATTCTGTGATTAATTTTCTTATTAATTAATTATTATAAAATACAGGGTATCTGCACACCTAGAAAGTCATGAAATGTCATGATTTTAACTTTTTTTTTTTTAAAAAAAATCATAGAAAGTCATGGGTTTTAGGTTGCCTAAAAATCTAAATTTTAAAATGGAATTCACGCCTCCCCCAATTTCATGGTGTTCCGAATATCTGAGTTTGTAATAAAATCCCCACTCACAGTCATATTTATTAAAATATATATTTTTTTATCGTGTTCTTTAATAATTATAGTGTTCTTTCAAAAAAATGAAAGAAAAAACATCATTTCTAGATCTAGTTAAAATAATCTTTTAAACTTTTGTGATTTCAGAATTTTTACTTATTTATTCTTTTTATTTTATCAATTTAAAATTCTAGCTGAAGCAAGCTAGTCATTGGTGAATTTTTTTTTAAATTTTGAATTGAGAACAGAAAAATCAGTATCTTAAGAATATAATTCTGAAGAAATAAAAAAGAAGAAAAACTTTTGCTTTCGTATTTTTTTCAGCTATTTTATTGCTTCAACTCTTTCATTACTCTGTTTTTTAAATTTAAAATCTATAAATATGAAGATGCAGAGTATAACAGTTTTGGTTATACCTATCATTTCAACTAATGTTATCATAATGCTTTTTTAAATTTATTGTTGTGTTTTTGTCAGAGAAAATAGTAACTTCGTTAAGTCATGAAAAATTCTTGGATTTGAAAACCTAAAATGTAGCAGATACCCTGAAAATATTGTTTGAGTTATTCCTGTTTCTATTTGAGTTATTCCTATTTCTTTGAGTTGTAGAATTTCTCTAGTATTTTCTGTAACTGTTATGTTTCCTGTTTTTTAATGTTATAACAAATTTAGTTTGAAAAAAAAATTATTATTGAAATTTTAAATTAAAGCTGAACCTGTTTTGTTCCTTTATACTTCTTTTCATTTATATGTTTACATACAATGTTGTTTAAAAACATTATTTATATTTCAGTTTCCCGGAGAAAGACTTGTTCTTGTTGATGCTGCTCAACCTTATAATTTTGACGATGACAAAGATGTTGAAATGTTATCTTAATTGTGGAAATGAGCTGTCTTTCAGTTATTTGATGAGTTTTAATCAACGCGTCGGGGTTGTTATACTTGTGATAAGATTTTATTTATTTTATTTATGAAGTTCTTTTCAAAACCCAGAACAATGAAAAAGAATACTTACCTCAGTCAAGGTTACACAAGTTAAATATTTAAAATATAAAAACGAACTTCAGCATTTGAACTAGCTTTTTAACTTAAGATGAAGTTTTACTTAGTCAAAGTTTTGCAAGTTTGTATTTTTAAAATATATAGTTAGAAAATATAACATTTTTTGCTTTCTGTTTTTGAGAGATAGAAAGCAGTTCCTATTTTTCACTTAAAAGACTTGGCATTTAAGCTCATTATGGGAAAAAGAATTTTCCACTCCTAATAAAATTTGTATTTGAAATATATTTTATGTGTTTCTGCAACAATTTCTGTTGAAATTGAAAATACTTTGCGTTTGTTGATTGCATTTTATTTTCACATTTTGCCTTTTTGTAATCTGGTTGAAGACTTTTAATGTGGCCGACATTTCCGGCTTAACTGACCAAAAATTTGAAGTGTGAAATTTTGTGTCTTAATTTTTTTTTGTGTTTATTTGTAGAATTTATAGTGCTGTTAAGTTATTGTAAAATATATTCTATTGTTTTCAGCAGTAAAACAATACCTTATGATTTCCAAATTAATTTTAGTTTAATTGTTATTCATTTAAATCTACTTTTAAAGTTTATTGTATGAGCTGTTGAAATTTGTACATATCTGTTTGTAATATGCTAGTGTTTAAAGTTATGGTGACATCACAGAGAGAAATACAATTCATATATGTAATATATTTTATTTATTGCATAATTTTTACAAAACCTATTTGTTCAGTTTTTTAGTGTTTTGAAAAATCAATACCAAAGGTTTCAAAAATATGCTAATTGAGTACTTAAGTTTTGAGATTTAGTTCTGTAAAAAATTTTTTCGATATAATGAAAATGTGTTATTGAATTAATAATAATCAATATTGATTCCATTTTATTTTTACTGAGCCATTATTCTGAAGGGAAAAAAATATTTTTCTTTCAATTTATTAAATTATAATTTTAGCTTCAAAAATGCCAAACTTTACCAATAAAAATTTTTTTAAACATTTTACTTGCTTTTAGTATAAAATTGAAGTGTATTATTTTTTTATTTTCAGTGTTTATTCACTTACTTAAAAAAAGAAAAAATTGAAACTGCCCTTTCACACTGAAATTGTATTAACAAGTTATATTTTACAGAAAAATGTACTGTTATTAAACCAAGCTGCTTACAGAAATGATGTCTGCAACAATTTTTAGTTTTGATTACAAATTTATTATGCACTTTTATAAGTGACAGAAATATAACTTGTTAGATTTTGTAACTTAATATTTTTGCAGAAATCTGAGGAAAAAAATGTTCTGCGGCTACTGGTCGGTATTTTTTGTTTATTGTAAATGTTTGCAAGCAGATGAAAATTTTACGTAAATATCTCTCCTTTATTTAAAGTCTCCATTTTTCAGTCCTAATTTGTCCGTTATTGCTATCATTAGAAAAAAATGGTTATATTATTAGTTTACCAGAATTATTTTACACATATGTGGTACTGTTTGTGAAAACTTTTGATAGTCATATTTCAAATCTTATTTTTAGGACCATCATAAATTGTAAAATATCTGTTACAATTTTCATGCTCTATTTTCTAAATAGATGATATTAGCAAATTAATGAAACATATCTCCCCAAAATTTACATTGTGATGTAACCATAATTTTATACTAGAGTCTGTTTAATGTTTTCCTTACATTCCATTTAATGCTTTTTGTGGATGTTAATTAAAATGTAAGAGTTTGTTGTTTAAAATGAATTATCAAATAGTATTATCTGTAAAGTTAAATGTTTATAGATATATGTTTACGTTGTGACATCACGCTTGTGCCTACACCCATTTTGTGATGCATATAAGTATAAGGCAAGCATTCATTTTTACGATTTCATAGTCAATATTACGGTTTTGTGGTAAAGCAATAAGAGTATGTTACGACACCCACCTTTCGCATTTTAATACTGGAACTACTTGTTGATGCCATCCATTAGCAATTTTTGTCACTAAATTCCAAATTTTCTGTATATGGTTTTTACAGCTCTCATATTAAACATACCCTTTGTTTTCGGGGGTTTTAATTGTGAAATAAGACTGTCCTCCGTTTGACACTATGTGCATTAGAAAGATTTGCCGCAATATGCATATGGTCCCTTTGTACATCTTTACTTTATAAATTGTCTTTGATATAAAATATCTGTTATAATGAATAAATATTTCGGTCCTTCCTTTTAACTCATTAGTTTTCCAGTATTAATTCATACCTTTTAGATGGCTATTTCAAAAAATAATCTATAGTTCAGTTTTAAGTTAAGATTTTGCTGTAGAAAAAATAAGAAAATGAGATCAAAATACATGCTTGCTGTCTACTTATGATACATAATTTAGACTCTTTGATGAACCCAGCTGTTTCCGCCATTCTTTGTTCCAGATTTTATTCTGGCAACGCTTAGAAATAGCCGTCACTATTGCAACAAAAACTCCAGAACATATAAAAGATAAAAAATTTTAATAAAAATGGATTAATTCGAAATATTTATGATACTATATGTGATGTTTTCCGTGAAATGAAGTTCCCCATTTATGAATGTTCATAATTATATTTAATTGCTAATTTTATGAAATAGATTAAAACGAGTTTAACATTTGTGTATATAATAGCTTTTATAAATGTATGAAAACTAATCAAAATTTAGGTAAATTTTAAAATATTTGTAATGTTTTTCAAATGCTTTTAATTTATTGCAGCTAATACAGGAAAATAGTGTAATTATTTTCATTTATTTTATTTGCATTTATTTGATAAATGTTTTAGACTTTTATTTACTTGAATTGGTCGGTTGTTTTGCATTTATGCAACTGTTTTTTTTCTTCTTTTTTTTTTCTAGTCTTATGTTCCTAGATTACATTTAAATTTATTAATTGTGGATTAAAATAGTTAAAAGCTGAAATCGCAAAAAAGGAAATTCAGAGGATCAAAAAATAAAAAACAAAAGTGACTTCTGATATTTACAATGTTTGTTGTAGTAACAGTCAATTTTGTCCTTAATTTTTATATTTTGGACAATCCCCACTTGTTATATTTAGACAGCAAGTGGCGATTACCCCTTTTGTCCTATAACTACGGTTTCAAATTCAAGTACTCTACAATTCATCGAGCTTAACACTTACAATTTTCATTTTTTTGCTCTTTCAGTTTTTAATATTTTTTATTTAATACAGTTTCTTAAAAGAGTATTTGACGGTGGCGAACCTAATTATATAAATTCTTGAGAATAAAAATTATCAGTTATAGTTAACATTTATCCTTATTTGCTCAAAGTAGAATATAAATTTCATTGTTTTTGATACAAACAAATCAAAATGTCATATCACTTAAGATTTATACTGTATTTTATTAATTCCTTATCCTGATAAATCATTTTCATTATGAAGTCTAATCTGTTTTAAAATATGTGAAGTTTGAATTTAGTGTGGTATGCAATAAATATTTTTAATGTAAATAATTTTTGTATCTTCATCGGATAGATATAAATAGTATTTAGATAATATCAAAATTATTTTTGATGTAAAATGTTCTCTCTGAAATTCTAATATGAATTTGCTGGTAACAATTCTCGATGGTGAACATGTAATTTAAATCATATTTAATAAATTATTTCTTTAGTTTATAGATGAAATAAAATCATTGTATTTAATGTAATTTATTTTAATAATATAAAAATAATAGATTTTTGATTAACATTAATCATGTGGCATTATTTTACACTTGCTAAATTATGAATTAAGTTGATGAACCACAGAAATTTAAAATTAAAAATGGTACACAACAATATGAAATTTGCTTAGCAATAAAGGTAAATAAGTTTTTGTTTCGTGCTATCTCATTCTTGCTTTTATCTTTTTAAAATAATTAATGTTCATTAATTTATTGATTTGATGAAATTGATTGGGTCTCTTATATTTTGTTGATGGAGTTTTACATGTTGTATTAATAATATGATTATGTACAGTTGTAATTACAAATAAATTTATTTTTCCCCTTAGTTCACATTGTTGTTATTGAAATCAAAGGCAAAAGATTTTACAAATAAAATTAAATCATTGTTTTATTACATGGAATTTGCATTTGCTACTAAAATGTTACCTTTTGTGGAAAGGTGACTAAAAATATAATCAAAAATTAATTTTAAAAAGTTGCACTGTTGAACTTATAATACATAGCTGCCAACTCTACTGGATTTTTCCAATTTCTCTGGTTCTGCTGGTTTAATTAAACTTCTTCTGATTTTTGTACATTTTAGAAGATTCTCTAAAATTGATTTAAGTTTCCTAAAAAAACCCCAATTGAAATAGAATGTTTGTACCGATTATTGTTTGCTTGAATATTTTAATAAATATTACTAATACACATAATGAAGCATTTACAGAAATCAGTTCAAAACTTTTTTGTCCTAAAATGTTCAGTTTACTTTTATTCAGAACTCTCTTTTTAAATTAAAAAAATCTTTTAACAATCTTTGATGAATTAAATGCCCTTTAATATTCTAAATTATGAGTAAACATAATGGATAACTTTTCAAGTATGTTTAACGTCAATCACAACTGGAAAATATATTGCAGTTTTTCTATTTTGATGACTATAAAATTTCCTATGTGTAAAATATTAATTTAATACATTATGCAACAATTATCATAAAATTTGTATTATTTCGTTAAATCTACTGGATTTTTTCCTGCCCATGTTGACAGCTATGATATTTTAAGATTTTCTATTCTTATAAATAAATCAGGCACTGGGCATAACTAATGGTAGTACCTTAATTATGTTGCACAATTATCTCTGAGGGTGATTTTAAGACATACCATCCTCTGCAGAGGGAATAGCTTACTTAGGAAAAAAGTGGCCTAATACCTGAGATTAATTGAAGAAATTTTTAAAAAAAATTATAAATAATTTCCTTGATGCTCGGAATACTTATGACATATAAGTTGCCTACTCTTGTTCATCATTAGAATGCTACTTGATTTTTTGAGTTGCAAATTTTTAGAAATACATATAGCAGTGGATTAATTTTGGAGCTTCCTTTGCAAATTTTAAAAAATACAGATAGCTGTGGGTGGAGCTTCCTTTGCAAATTTTCAAAAATACAGATAGCTATGGGTGGAGCTTCCTAGTTTATAATAATATTTTTTAAATTGTTTTATACCAGGTTGCAAAGCGTTTAAAAGTGTCTAAAGGTGCTTATCTGAGCCATTATTCTGAAGGGAAAAAANATGTTGACAGCTATGATATTTTAAGATTTTCTATTCTTATAAATAAATCAGGCACTGGGCATAACTAATGGTAGTACCTTAATTATGTTGCACAATTATCTCTGAGGGTGATTTTAAGACATACCATCCTCTGCAGAGGGAATAGCTTACTTAGGAAAAAAGTGGCCTAATACCTGAGATTAATTAAAGAAATTTTTAAAAAAAATTATAAATAATTTCCTTGATGCTCGGAATACTTATGGCATATAAGTTGCCTACTCTTGTTCATCATTAGAATGCTACTTGATTTGAGTTGCAAATTTTAAAAAATACATATAGCAGTGGATTAATTCTGGAGCTTCCTTTGCAGATTTTAAAAAATACAGATAGCTATGGGTGGAGCTTCCTTTGCAAATTTTCAAAAATAGAGATAGCTATGGGTGGAGCTTCCTAGTTTATAATAATATTTTGAAAATTGTTTTATACCCGGTTGCAAAGCGTTTAAATGTGTCTAAAGGTGCTTATTTTTGTATTTTTAAAGCCCTAAAGGTTCTTTTTTCATTGTTTGTTTTTAAAAAGTGCGTAATTTTCCCTTTTCCAAAATGAGATTTTTTTTTCTATTCCATTGTCAATTTTCGAAAGAATTACACAAAAAGCTTGGTTTGTACATTGTTCTACTCAACATTTTAACAATTCGTTCGACCACAACCTGTTTCGCGGTAACGTCGATCATTTTACATTATTGTTGAAATACCTGCGGGTTAGAATATGCGTATACTGGAGCTGTATTCGGTGGGAAGGATTCTTGTGTTCTCACTCCACTGCATTTTGCAGGAGATTCTCAATTTCAAGCTTCATTTTCCGCCCTCTGAAATCAAACCGAAAAATCTCTGCAATTTTTGCTGGTTACAGGGACCAAGTAAACATTGCCAATTTTCTTTTCTCGAAAAGCAAAAAATTTTTTTATTCTCTTGTTAATTTCATCGATGGTGAAGCACCATTGTCTTCATCACTGGCAAGCTAATGGCCTTCTCTCGCTCTTTTATTTATAGATCAATACCGGGATCATTCACTAATTACGTATTTTCATGTGGGTCCCCAGAGCAGTAAAGAATCTGAAAGCTTCATCTTCTCGAAATTTCCACCTCCCTTTTAATCATTTAATTTAATAAGGCTTAGAATTAATTGAGATTTTAATTCGTAAAATTTTTTACTAGAGGGGCCGCCCACCGATTGCATAAAATTCTTGTAAACTTTAATTGAACTTCACTGCTTTTTTTTTTTTTTTTTTACTTTTTATCATTGTATTATTACTTTTAAAACTAAGTCGTTTTATGAAAAAACTACATAATATTTACGGATAAGATTTTAAAAAAGTATGAAGTGAGGTTCTTTCACTATTTTAAATTGACAATAAATCATTTAGATTTCTCATTCCAAATTTTTTTTAATTCATCTCTTAATGATTTCATTTAAAAACAATTGAAATAAAAAAAATCAATTATATTAAATATTATGAGTGTAGGGAACCATATAATAATTTACTCCGTACAAATATATTAAGCTTCCGTACTCATTCTATTTACACATCAAAATTATTTACATTGTTTTAAGCATTTGATTAACGAAATACTGAAACAAGTAACAAAATTTATTAACGGCCGTTACTTCTGTAATATGTATTTATTAAAATTTTCTTAGTTTGCATAATTCTTTATATATTACCTTTATAAATTCGGTATGATCAATAATAGTAATCTTGTTAATGTTTTGTTGAATATGCTTTTATAAATAACATTTATTCAAATCTAAAAAAAGCACTCGATAAACTTATTAGATATTAGTTAAATTAATTATAATTTAAAATTAATTTTTTTGCATAATTATGCTAAGTGATTATTTTGAAAAATAGAATGATCCACTCAATATAGAATATATTTATAATTGTACATAAATTGTTTTAATGGTAGCTAATGTAATCAAGAAAAGAATTCTTTGCCAGAAACTAGATATTTTATCTTGCTCATGTAATGTCTTTAAAAATTATTTTGTTAACATATATATGAAGAACTTTTAACAATAGGAAGAAATTTTTTTTTATTAATTCACACATCCTAATTATATTTTTTTAAAGAGCCTAAAAATATTTTTTTAGTTCTTAAAAAGTACTTATTTTTTGTTGAAAATTTTGGCTTCGCACTCTGTCTTTGTTTCCCAGTTGTAAAGAATACCTTGCTATTGGGGTCTTTAATTTTTTACGATAGATATTTCTTTTGATGTTTAAATATGCATTTTAAGCAAGCTTTACCCTGACCCGCTCCCATTGGGAGCATCCAGGTAATACTGTTGACTGTCAATTGGGGCAATCCTCGAGTCAGTCGGTGGATCCAGCAGTGCATGGACACTAGGTTCCATGGCCCCGAGTCACTCCCGACAAAAAGCAACACAATGGACAATTACAGCATATCATAAATTTTTTTATTTTCATACCTAACTTATTGGAAATTCTCTCCTGAAACCGAAAATCTGATTGTTTTTTTCGGCAAATGTTAATTTATTTAGTTATTAAACATTTAAATTGCCCCAAAAGGCCTCCGTAAGTGATGCAATCAAAAACGATCCCTGATTGGTTATGACGTCAAATGTGCCGAAAGGGAACGTGCCGTCTCCATCCGCTAAGGCTATTTCAATGCTCTTTTAGTTTTGATATCACGTATATCGTATGAACATCCTTTGTAAATTATCAGTAAAAATTTTGTGAATTAAATTTACGGTTCTGAGAGTGTGTGCAAAATGAAAGAAAGATTTTAAAACTTCAAACGTTGTTATTTATCATTAAAATATCTGAAGAAATGATTATGNAACATTATAAAAATACGTTATATCAAATCCACATTTTTATTAAGCGATATTAAGGCGCAATTTTTTATACAGATAGCTTTAGACCATCTAAAATGGTTGGATTTAATTAGAAAATTTAAACGAAAGCAAGAACGTATTGGTTTTCACAGCACAGCTATTGTAAGTGAACGGCAGATGGACACGTGTGACGTCAGTTCGTGCATAATCACGTGACTCCCCGTTTCAGGCGAAAACGAAAGTAAGCGTTTTTTGATTGAAAATAACTAAATAAATAGTCTTCTTAGAAAAGTAATAAAATGTTTTCTGGGAGTTTTGAGGGATTCTGAATGCATTAAAATTAAAAAAAAATTTGACTGTAATTGTCCAGGGGGCAATCCTGAGACGGGTGCAGAGGTGCCAAGGTCAGCTGCAAACGACTCACAAGGAGTGTGGCACAGAGGGACAACTGCCACACCACGACCCATCGAGGCATCCTCTGACTGGAAGATTCTGAAACCATTTAGAACATTTATTGAAAAAATTACAATCGAAATAATGACCGACAACCTGTACAATATAGATCTTAACAAATATATATCTTAAATAATTATTATGTTATGGCCTAGTATGTAATTATTTAATTAACATTGTAAATTTGCTACAGGGGCAGGGGGAAATGGGCGCACGATGCGCCCACTTAAAGCTTGGGGGGGGATTTAGAATTTGCTCAAGAATACGCCCAAGAGCTTGGGGAGATGGGGGCCACTGACTGGGAACGTATTTAAAATGATACCTCGTGCTTTACTTCCGACTGTTTAACTTTTTGAAATTACTGTTAGTTTTGGTGTATAACTCGAATTTTCAAACCTCCAAAATTTGACAAAAATCAGGGGGTCGATTTGTACACCGGAAACAAAGGTGGAGATTCGTTGATCGTGAAATATCGATACTTTATAAATAATGTGGTAGATATGAATAACTGAGTATGAATTTAGTCCCTTCAAAACTATTTTTAATAATTTGTTTAAAATTTTACATTTTCTTCCTTTGTATTTGCTTCGCAAATAAAGTTTTTTTTAAATGGAAATGCTCTGAGTTGTGGTCCGAAAAAAATAAGAATAAAAGATAATTTATTCAAGAGTATTTCAAAAACGTAACACAGTGAACGTACCATAAATGAACGTACCGTTTTAAAACGTACGATAAAGCTATTAATTTAAAATGCCGGCTCCCACAAATACTTGTCTTTATCCTCACTCAAAGAATTCGAAATTCCACACTTTTCCAATTATTATGTATATATGTGTGTGTATATATTACAATTACATTATTTGAGGCCCAATGTATCATATCCAGAGCGAACAAAATAAAACATTTTTAACTTCAGAAAATTTTGTAGAATTGATAATTTATGTTTTTTTTTTTTTTTTTTTAAAGCTTTAAAATTATATTTGGTTTTTTCAGAGGGCACACGACATACCGAAAATTTATTTTCTTGTAGTCAAAAATATAGGCTTGAATTATACACATGACATACCCAGAGATGCTTGTACTCCGGAAAAATTCCGGATTTCAGGATCTTTCGCTAACCGGAAATCCAAGGTCTAGAAGTTTTCAAAAAAATCATCGATCACATTTATGTATAAGAATTCTCGTATATTTTATTTAAAAACATTAGAACTAGTATTTATACTTGACATCTCTTTCATTTGTAGATATTTTTTTCAGATAGAATAATAAATGTGATTAGAGATAAATGTAAACTTATGCATAATTATTAATTTAAATTAGGTTGCATATAATTTATTTAGAATTTCATGTTGGCAATATATCAATGATTTAAATTTATAAAGATATTAATTTTTTTAAATGAGTCATTTATGATTTTACTCAAGAAACTCTCAAGATGTTTGAGATGAGCTCACAATCACCCCTGCATACCGAATATTTGCTATGTTATAACTAAAAATAGATGGTCGACTTATGCACTAGAACATGCAGAAAATGTCCTGTCTCGTAATCAAAAATAGAGGACCGACTTATACAGATGACAGACCGAAAATTTCCGATCTCGTAACTAAAAATAGAGGGTCGACTTTTTCACTACGACCTACAGAAAATGTGCTATCTCGTAATCAAAAATATGGGCTTGAATTATACACACGACATACCGAACATTTGCTATCTCGTAACTAAAAATAGAGTATCGACTTATGCACTACTACATACATTAAAGTTTGCTATCTCGTAATCAAAAATAGAGGGTCAACTTATACACAAGCAGACCGAAATTTTTCTATCTCGTAACTAAAAATAGAGGGTCGACCTTTACACTACGACATACAGAAAATGTATTATCTCATAATCAAAAATAGAGGGTTGACAAATACATACCTCAAATTAGCTATTTCGTAATAAAAAATATATGCTCTATTTATACACACGACATACAGAAAATTTGCTGTTTCGTAATTAAAAATATAAGCTCTACTTATACACACGACATACAGAAAATTTGCTGTCTCGTAATCAAAAATATAGGCTTGACTTATACATCTTACATACAGAAAATGTGCTATCTCATAATCAAATTAAAAAGCTGACAAATACACACGACATACCGTAAATTTGCTATCTCGTAGATGAAAATATAGGCTCGACTTATACACATGACATACAGGAAACTTGCTGTCTCATAATCAAAATTATAGGCTCGACTTATACATTTTACATACAGAAAATGTGCTATCTCGTAATCAGAAATAGAGGTTTGAAAAATACACTCGAAATAGTATCGTAAATTTGCTATCTCGTAATTAAAAATATAGACTCGACTTATACACACGACATACAGAAAATTTGCTGCCTCGTAATCAAAAATAGAGGATCGACTTATACACAGTTATATACGGTCAATACTTATTTGAAGAATTCTTGCTATATAGTCTGTTTTTTCACTATTTTGTTATGTTTTGTTAGTAACCAATTATAAATAGAAAAAAAAATATGAAACGACGTCTACTTATTAGTTTTATATAGAACATTTCCAATCGAATGCCGGAGATAAATAAGAGATTAGCGAACGTCGACCAGATAAGATGGCATTGTTCGTACACTAACGTCATTTTTGGAGTAGTTCACCCCGTTGAAAATGAACTGTACATGTTGACAATATTACCTTTTTTAAACATTCAGTACAATAAATAAAAATGCATCCTTAGTTGGATTTGGAATAAAATTATATCATGCCAAACGTACCCTGCATCTCGTTTGTTTTCTTATTCGCAACCGTTCTCGTTATCTCAAATGGGAATCAGACAGAAGAAAACAACGTGAAATTATCAAATCGTAGTCGTCTTTTTTCATATGAAGAAATAAAGAATGAAGGTAAGTTCGTGTTTCCCAGGTTTTTGATTTGTTGATTGACATTGTTATTTTTGCATTGTATATTTTGCATTGTTAATATCGTGCCAAAATTTTGGTTTGTTCCTTTGTTTACTTAATTTTAATTAACACGCAGGGGGGGGGGTTAAAAGCAAGATTCTTTTGAAAAC